GGAAGCGGGAGATAGTACAACGATTAGGGGAAGACTAGGCCTAGCATGCACCGGACCTGGGTTCGATTCCTGGCACCAAATGATGCCCAGAGCACCACTGGGCGTCGCTCTGAGGGTCCCAGCACTGGCCAGTGTGCCTCTGGAAGCCCTCGGCACCCCTGGACTGGACTGGGTAGGCCCCAGCAGCAACACACTCTCAGATCCTGGCATTGAACTGCTGACCCCCTGGCAGAGAATCGCCAGTGCACCCCCCCCCACACACACACAAAATAACCAAATGAGGAAATGAGTAAGTGCATTTGAAGGCAGAAAAATGGAGAGTGAAACCCAAGGTCCCCAGTCTGGCTCTTCTTCCTCTGGGGTAAGGACCTCCTGGTCTGCCTGTCTGCTCACGCTGAGCCCAGTACGAGTAAGCACCCGGGGCCAGAGCAATAGCACAGCAGGTAGGGCGTCTGCTTTGCACGCAGGCGACCTGGGTTCGAGTCCCAGCATCCCATTTGGTCCCCCAAGCACCGCCAGGAGTAATCCCTGAGCATTGCTGGGTGTGACCCACTATAGCACTGTCCTCCCGTTGTTCATCCATTTGCTCGAGTGGGCATCAGTAACGTTTCCATGGTGAGACTTGTTACTGTTTTGGGCATATCGGATACGCCACGGGGAGCTTGCCAGGCTCTGCCATGCAGGCAGGATGCCGGGCTCTCCAAGAGGGATGGAGGAATCAAACCCTGGTCGGCTAAGTGCAAGGCAAACACCCTCCCCGCTGTGCTATAGCACAAAGGAGAGGAAATCACTTGTCATCCTGTTGTTCTTGGATTTGCTCGAGGGGGAGCCAGTGACATCTCCATTCGACCCTTTCTTTCGTGTGCTGATGTAGCCAAATGGCGTCTGCTCACTCCAGGAACACGAAGAGCATCAAACCCTTTGTTCAGAGTCTTGACGAAGAAGTCCGACCATCTCATAGGTGGGCAGCCGAGTGTTCTTTGGACATCCCGTGGAATTCAGTCAGTAACGGCTCTAGTCCAGCAGTCGTCTCCAAATTGCACTACATGTCCGGCCCATCTGATTTTCGACACCTTGGCAAACGAGGCAGCATCCCCGATCTTTGATCGTCAATGAAGGTCGGAACTCCGGATTCGTTCTCTCACTTGAGTGAAGCGTGATACTCCAAGCATAGCTCTTTCGATTCCTCTTTGGGTGATCGGAATAACGTTCTCATCCTGTTTTCCTAGGTCCCAGGTCTCTGAAGCATAGGTTAATGCAGGAAGAATGGAGTTAAAAAAAAGAAAAGAAAAGGAGCCAGAGGTTCGGAGGTTCTTTGTCCTCTTAACAACTTTTTTTTTCCTCACAAATGAGAGGTAGAGCTAAATATCCAAGCCAGCGTCACGACCAAATTTTACAAGGTGTGGGTCTCCCCTCCAGACCTCAGGCTTCTGAGGACGAGAGACAGAGCCTCTGCACCCCTCCAGAGGGGGGACACTCGGCCTGTGTCCCCTCTCTCTGGGCCTTCTCAGCACCTCTCCTTTCTGCCCAGCCTTTCACCCACTTGGCGGACAAAGCTTTCCTGGGCTCTGAGCCATTTCCAAGGCTGGTCCTTTTGTCCCTAATAAAGGGCTCTGGTCCCGAGGATCCTGGCGGGATTCTGAGGGTACTGGGGCCTGTGAAGGGATTCTGGGGTGCAGAGAGGGGGAAGTCAGGGGAACCTTGTTGCTCTCTGAGATTATCTCCTTTGTTTTTTTTTTGGGTCACACCCGGTGATACTCTGGGCTCTGCACGCAGGCATTGTAACTGGCAGTGGTCGGGGCATCACATGGGATGCCGGGAATCCAGCTCACCCAGGTGGATCGTGTGTAAGGCCAGTACCCTCCCCTCCCACCCCCCGATTATCCCTTCAGCCCCAGTTCATAAATTTTTTTAAATTCATTTTTTGCTTTTTGGGTCACACCCGGCAATGCACAGGTGTTACTCCTGGCTCTGCAGACCATATGGGATGCTGGGAATCGAACCCGGGTTGGCCGCGTGCAAGGCAAACGCCCTACCAGCTGTGCTATTGCTCATAAATTTTTTATCTTACATTTCATACACAGGTGAACTCACCCAACACTTGCCTTACCCCTTTTGACAGATTTCACTTTGCATAATTCCCAAGTTCCATTTTGTTGCCAGTGGTAAAATCTCTCTCTCTCTCTTTTTTTTTTTGAAAAGCAGATTAACACAAAAGCTGGTTTGTTTAATCACGTAGGCACCTGGAACTGTCTCCTTGAATAGTATTCCACTGCATAAAATCACATTTTTTTTTTTTATACAATCATAGATGGCTACCGGGCTGGGGCTGGAGCGATAACACAGGGGGTAGGGCATTTGCTTTGCACGCAGCTGACCGACCTGGGTTCGATTCCTCCACCCCTCTCGGAGAGGCCAGCAAGCTACCGAGTATTCCGCCTGCACGGCAAAGCTTGGCAAGCTACCCGTGATGTATTCGATATGCCAAAAACAATAACAAGTCTCACAATGGAGACGTTACTGGTGCCCGCTCGAGCAAATCGATGAACAACGGGAGGACAGTGCTACAGTGCTACAGATGGCCACCAGAGTTGTTCCATATCTTTTTTTTTTTTTTTTTTTGCTTTTTGGGTCACACCCGGTGATGCTTAGGGGTTACTCCTGGCTCATGCACTCAGGAATTACTCCTGGCAGTCCTCGGGGGACCATATGGGATGCTGGGAATCGAACCCGGGTCGGCCATGTTGGCTGCGTGCAAGGCAAACGCCCTACCCGCTGTGCTATCGCTCCAGCCTCCCACATCTTCACTACTGCAATTCACGTTGCCTTAGACTATACTTTTTGTTGCAGAGGTCTTTGTATTCTCATTTGCTTTGGGGCCACACCCAGTGGTGCTCAGGGCTTACTCCTGGCTCTGATGGAGCTCAGGGGACCAGACCGGGTGCCAGGGATTGAACAAACCCAGGCCAGCCACTTGCAAGGCAAGTGCCCTACTTGCTGTATTATTGCTCCAGCCCTAGGATGGTGTGTTTGGATTCTCTGGACAGACACCAGGTTGGTTAAAGGTAAAGGTAAAGGTAAAGGCCCTCCCGTTGATCGTCGATTTGCTCGAGCGGGCCCAGTAACGTCTCCATTGGAGACTTTGTTGTTACTGTGTCTGGCATATCGAATACTCTCGGTAGCTTGCCGGGCTCTCCGAGAGGGGTGGAGGAATCGAACTCGGGTCAGCCATGTTGGCCGCGTGTAAGGCGAACGCCCTACCCGCTGTGCTATTGCTCCCAGAATGTCTCAGCAAAGCTATGTCCCTTTCCACGGGTCTCCTTAGAGGCCCAGAATATACTGGATGTGGCCTGGGCTAATCAGAGGAATCTCCCTGGCCCATTTTTTGGTTAGTTTACTTGGGAGCCACACCTGGAGATGCTCAAGGGTGACTACTGGCTCTGCACTTAGGAATTACTCCTGGCAGTGCTCCTTCTCAGAAATCCACTGGCAAACACCCTCCTGGTTACACTATCTCTCCAGCCACCCCCACATTCATCCTTAAATTTCAGCCTTTCCACACCTCCATTAGCTATCCGGCCAAAGGCTGTTGTTTGCCTCCAGGTGGGCTGAGAAGCCGGGTGTGTTCAATCACTTAGGCACCTGGAACTGTCTCCCGAAACGGGGCGCGCTCTTTGTTAGATTCACATGCCCAAAACTCCACGCCCCGATCGGACCTTGGGTTCAGCCAGTCCTTTCAAAGTTCCGAACCAGGGCAGCCTAGTCCAGCTGGGGTCCCTAAGTCTTGAAAAGCCACCCACGCGGGGTTGGAGCACTAGAACAGCGAGGTGGGGGGAGGGGGCTCGTTCCTTGCACGCGGCTGGCCTGGGTTCCATCCCTGGCACTCCGGAAGGTTCTCCAAGCCTGCCAGGAGTGATCCCCGAGTGCAGGGGCAGGAGTAAGCCTTGAGCACCCGAACAAACAAACAAAAACACCCCTTCCCTAATTCCTTCTCTCCGTCCACCTTCATTTCCGGAGTCAGCAGGCACCTCGGCCCAAATCTCCGGTAAGTGCCACCCGATCCGGCTCCCTCGGGAGCCCGGGTGCTCCGGGGGTCCAGGCCAGGGCCCTGTCCGATCCGCAGCCCCCCTATCCCCTCCCCACAACCATGGCGGCCTGAACAGGCAGCGCAGCAGACGTGCATCCTTCAGTCCTTAAGATCTTCCGATTACAGCGTTCCCAGCCCGGGACGGGAGGAGGCCCGGGAGGCTGCAGGCGCGCGCGCCCGCCGAGAGCGCGGACAACGTGCGGCCAGAGCAAAGCCGAAGGGCGGCCCCTGGGCCGAGCCGATCGGAAGGTGGGGGGTGGGGGGAAGGGATGGAGGGGGGGTGGGGTGGGAAACTCTCCCCCCACCCCACGCCGGCCCGATCCCCCTTTTGTGCCGGCATCAGGTGCAGAGTCCCGAGAGCGCGCGCGCGGGGCGGCCGACGCGCGCGCGAAGTGTGGGGGGTCGTCGGCTCCGCCCGGCGCCCGGGGCCGGCTGGGGGGCGGGGAGCGAGGCGGAGGGAGGAAGAGGAGGAGGAGGAGGAGGAGGTGGGACACGTCGGCGGCTGGGGCTGGGGCCCGGCCCGGGCGGGGACGCACGGGGGGTGGGGGCCGGGACCGCCGCCGCCGCGGCGGCCCGCCGGCCTTCGAAAGATCGTCCCGGGCCAATGACAGGCGGGGCGCGGCGCGCGGATTGGTGGGGGCGCTCTGCTGATCGCGGGGAAGCCCGGCCGGCGCGCAGCGCGGGAGGATGCGGAGCCGGGGCGGGGGGAGCCGCGGGGGCGGGCGGGGGCGGCTGCCCGCGGCCGCTCACTGGAGGCGAAAGTCCGGGGCGGGCTGGGTGGGCGGAGGGAGGGGCGGGGGCAGGGCCGGGCCTGGGGCGCGGGGCGGCGGGGCGGTCGGCGCGGCGCGGGCAGGGATCCTCCGGGGCGTGGGGGAGCGGGCGGGGGGAGGGGGCGCGGTGGGAGGAGGAGGAGGAGGAGGAGAAGACAAAAGCCCCAAGCGAGGAGGGCTAGGGCCGCACAGGGCTGCCGCGACTCGTGCAGGCCGCAGCGCACCGGGCTTGGGGACCGCCACCATGGGCAAGGGCGGGAACCAGGGCGAGGGGGCGATCGAGCGCGAGGCGCCCATGCCCACCTTCCGCTGGGAGGAGATTCAGAAGCACAACCTGCGCGCCGACAGGTGGCTGGTCATCGACCGCAAGGTCTACAACGTCACCAAGTGGTCCCTCCGGCACCCGGGGGGCCAGCGGGTCCTCGGGCACTACGCGGGGGAAGATGCCACGGTAAGGGTCTCGGGGGTGGGGGCGCCCCCCGCCACCAGCCCCGGTCGCGGCGGGGCAGTTCCGAGTCCGAGAGGTCCCCGGGCACCGCACGGACCCAAACCCCCGACCCTTCCACCCTGACCCCCCAGCGCTACTTGGAGCTGGGGGGCTGCAGGAAAGGTGTTTTCGCGGCTCTCCTGGACCCCCTCCCACACCCCACCCCGACCCCCCTAGTCTCCGTCCTCTGGGATTGCAGCGCCAACTTGACGGTGTGTGTTGGGGCGCGGGGGATCCCGGCGCCGGGACCTCGGGGTGAGCGCGCGCCCCAGCACGCACGCACGCGCCCGCGCCCGGCTCGCGCTGCCGAGTGGGGCCAGGCACTCCCCCAGGGGGCGCTCCTCGGGATGCAGGGCTTCGGCGCCCCCAGCATGGAAGATGGCCGGCCCGGGCATTGGTGGGCAGGCGGGGACGGAGAGCGAGCGAGGGGTCGCCGGGATACCCCGCTACCCCTCAGCCCACCCCCCCGCCTTGGGGGGACTGGGCTGGGGGCCGGAGCTGGCGACCACCGCGGGTGCATTTCGCCGCCCTCTGCTGGCGTGGCCACAGGTCCAGCTTGGACCCGAGGTTACTCTGGGACGTGCAACTCAATGGGCTTCTGTTCCTGAACGCTGCCAGGAATGCCCTTGCCTTGCCGCCTTGGCCTGGCACGGTGGGGGCGCCGCGGCCGGCCCTCGCAGCCAGCCCCCCCACCCCACTTCCCCCCCACCCCCCGGACTGGCCCCAAACCTGTGACGCTTTGCTTCCATGGCATCCGACTCAACCGTCTTCCAACCTTACGTTGAAAAAGAAAACGCCGCGGGTCCAAAGCGGGGGAGGGAGGGTGTGGGTGAGCTGGGAGCCAGGCTGGTGGATGGTTGGGGAACGGGAGAGGGGCCAGAGGCCAGGGGAGCGGCCCTTTCCTCCTGGGGGTTGCCGATCGCACAGGAAACTGACGTTCGCAACAGCCCTGGACAGCCTGTAGGGGAGCAAACTTCTAGGGGAACTGCCAGGCCCGTTTGGGGAACAGGGTTCAAGCATATGCAGGATCGGTCTATGCCTCATGCACTAGGATGGTGACCCCTAGTGGGATTCCCATGTTCCAACTTGGTTTGGGGGGGGGGGGCGTGCAGAATTTCCCTGGGACCTTTGCACCCTTGCGCAAGGGAGACTGAGGGTGGCTTTGGGACCCCTGGTTGTGGACCTTCCACTCTTCCATGTGGAAGGTGCAGTCTCTTCCTGATCTTCCAGTCTCTTCCTGATCCCCAGTAGGTAAATTCTAGAAAGATTCCCTCCCACCCCAGGTTGGTTCCTCACCGCACAAGTTTTCCCAGCAGGAAAAGTTCATCAGGCAGGATGGGTCGGATTATTCTGATCTGGATCAATAAACGCATCGTTTTCCTACTTCCCCCCATGCTGGAGAAACATCTCGTCCGGTGTGGTGGGAACTTCCAACCCTAGGTCCCTGCGGTGGTTGCTGCTCTCAGACAAGTGGGACCAAGTGAGATGGGGTGGGAAGGGTGGGGGGAGTCCAAGCCTGGAGGCCAAGCAAGGGGTGAGACGGGCGGCCGGGGAGGCATCTGGGTGGTCAGTGGCACAGCCCTCGCCTGCAGAAATAAGGCAGCGAGAAGGAACGCGTGAAGTCTCCACCAGCTTTAGGATAACAGGATGTGAAGAGAACCCTAGTTCCTCACGCATACTTCCTGGGGCAAAACACGGGGTGGGTAGGGGGGTGTAGCCCACTCTCCAGTGCTTTCCTGCAGCCGCTAATGGAGGTGTAGGGTTCCGGTGAGTTCCTGTTTCTGGAGGAAAGAGCTCAGAACCCATCCAACCTCTTCCTGGAAGGCCCTAATGGTGGGGGCCACAGACCCTCACTGCCAGGACCTGCCTGTTGAGCTGAAAGGGGCTTCCTCGTGCAGGGACCACCCCGTGTCACTGTCTTATGGCTCAGCAGCTTAAAGGCATCCGGCTTAGACCTGCTCCCTCCCCCAAGTCCTTACCCCCACCCAAGGATCTTGTCCCTCCTTGCCCCTGGGGTGTCTCTGGTCTTTGCCATGCTTGGTCGGTGCTGTCCAATGCACGGTCATCCCAGGCCTGTAGGACTCCGCACACTCACACTTGCTCTGCAAGACACAATCCTCCGTAAGGGGGACCAGGGTGACTCTGAGCGAGGCCCTGGGTGGAAAATGCAGGTGGGGAGGGCGGGGGGTGCTGGAGCGATAGTCCAGCAGGTAGGAGGACATTTGCCATGCACGCAGCCAACCTGGGTTCGATCCCTGGCGTCCCATATGGTCCCTTGAGCACCGCCAGGAGTAATCCCTGAGCATTGCCGCGTATGGTCCCAAAAGCAAAATAAAATAAAATGCAGGCAGTACCTTTCTCTCTCTCTCTCTCTCTCTCTCTCTCTCTCTCTCTCTCTCTCTCTATCTATCTCTCTATTACCTACTACCCCTGGCCCCACTCCCCAGTCTCAGAAACTTCTGCATCTTTTCCTCCTTGAAGCCAGGGAGGGTCGGTTTGTTCCAGCTTTCTGGCCTCCTCCCTGCGATGCCTGGGCACAAGCTTGCTGTCATCCTGGCTGGCTCCTTCAAGCAGGGCCAGGCCCTGGGACTGAGCAGCCAACCTGCTAAAGTCTTTTATCTATCTATCTATTTATTTATTGCTTTTTTGGGTCACACCCAGCGTTGCACAGGGGTTACTGCCAGGAGTAACTCCTGGCTCTGCACTCAGGAGTTACTCCTGGCGGTGCTTGAGGGACCATATGGGGTGCTGGGAATCGAACCCAGGTCGGCCGCATGCAAGGCAAACGCCCTCCCCTCTGTGCTATCGCTCCAGCCCTTCCTGCCGAAGTCTTAGGAGCAGCTCTTCCCCAGCCTCCCTTCCAGGTCTGTGAAATGGAGGATTAGGCCCAGCCTCCCCTAAGTGGGGTGTTCCCCCCACCCCCGCCTCAGGCTCAGGCTTCCTGCTTGTGCCACAGGAATTTGGAAACGGGCAAGGGTGGAGCCGAGAGAAGAACTTGAACAGGCCGTGCCCAGCGGTGCTCAAAACTGACTCCTGGCACGGCTTTGGGACCATACAGAGTGCCTGGGGTCAAACCTGGGTCATATCTTCCCAGCTGTTCTTTGTCCAGTCCAAGATTTCTTTTTTCTTTCTTTTTTATTTTCCAGTTGTACATGTGTGGGATGCTACAAACTGAACCCAGGGCTTCATACTCACCAGGCAGATACTCCACCACTCAGCTACAGTTCCCGTGTGTGTGTGTGTGTGTGTGTGTGTGTGTGTGTGTGTGTGTGTAGGGAGGTGTCACCAAGAGCAGAACTATGTGGCCTTTCCCCGTGATAGGGGATACCCCACCACTGAGCTACACTTCCCGTGTGTGTGTGTGTGTGTGTGTGTGTGTGTGTGTGTGTGTGTAGGGAGGTGTCACCAAGAGCAGGAGTCACATGGCCTTTCCTCGTGTGGGGGAGAATCATGCATTGGTGAGCGAGCCAGACATGTAGCACTATATATCACGGTCCTCCCATCGTTCATCAATTTGCTCGAGCAGGCCCAGTAACGTCTGCATTGTGAGACTTGTTGTTACTGTGTTTGGCATATCCAATACGTCACGAGTAGCTTGCCAGGCTCTGCCATGCAGGCAAGATACTCTCAGTAGCTTGCCGGGCTCTCCGAGAGGGGCGGAGGAATCGAACCTGGCTCGGCCAGGCCAGCTGTGCACGAGGCCAACGCCCTACCGCAGTGCTATCCCTCCAGCCTGACATGGGTGGATAAAACCGGGCCATGTGGAGAGGAGTGGGTTTGATTCCCGAGGACCCTATATGGTGTTCTGAACACCACCAGGAATGACCCTGAACATCACTGGGCACTGCCCCCAAACTAAAGGAAGCTTCAAAACAGGGGTGCCGTCCAGAGAATGTGCAGGACCTCGGCCATACTGTTTCCAAGGGGTGGGGAGCTCCGGGATGCAGGAAGTGGGGATCCATGGTCAGATCTGGACAGGGAGCTGTGTCTCCCATCTTTTTATTCCCATTGCTCGGCTTCTCTGAGTCTGCAGGAGTGTGCCAGGTGACCCAGGGTCCGGGGCCATTTGCTCCTCGTAAGCTAGAGCGCGGGTCTGGGGTTTTCTAAACCACCAGCGCCCTCCCTTCACCTGGCTGGAGGGAAGAGAGGCCCAGAACCTTCTCGATGGACTCAGGGGGCTGGAGAGATAGGGCAGCAGGCAGGCACTTGCTTTGCACGTGGTTGACCTGGGTTCGGACCCTGACATCTCCTATGGTCCCTCCTCGTGCCCTACTGGGAGTGATTCCTGAGCACAGAGCCAGGAGTAAGCCCTGAGCACCACCGGCTGTGGCTCTAAAAACAAGAAGAGACTCAACCTCCAGGGATCTGTGTGTGCAAACACACACACACACACACACACACAGACCCCTGTAGTTTGCCTCTGATTATGTTATCAGGCCGTTCTGCCCAGGAACCTGCTTTATCAAGGTCCTCCAGGGCCTGGTGGTTTGAAGTGAGGAGAACCAATGAATAAAAGGCCCTTTACCCTCTGAGTGGACCCCGGTGCTCCCTGTGTTCCTCCTCCAGACCCCCCGAGCACTGGCTGGGAGATGCACTTTGCAGAGGACACTGGCCTGGGGCCGCCTGCATGGACAGGACTGCTCAGCACTGGACTGGACCCTCCTTGCCCTCCAGGGCCCTTTGATGTGATTTAGACACAGCCCCTGACAGGCTCCACTGTGTCCTTGAGATGTTCCTAGGGAGTAGCTAGCAATTTCAAAGGAGGGATTGCAAAGTTCTGTGACCCCCCCCCCCCCCCGAAGTAAATCTTGAGTCCCAGGAATCCTTTTTTTGGAAGGGGGGTGGTCCATACCTGGTGATGCACAGGGGTTACTCCTGGCTCATGCACTCAGGAATTACTCCAGTTGCTTGGGGAAACTATATGAGATGCTGGGAATTGAACCCAGGTCAACCGTGTGCAAGACAAACGCCCTACCCGTTATCTCTCCAGCTCGAGTCCCGGGGATCCTGAAGGCAGGGGTTTGTTCGACTCTACACCCTCCCATGGCGACCCCATACTGCAGGAAATGACCAGCTCTGGAGGAAGCGACACCTCTCTTTTCTTCTGAGGGGGTGGGGGACACAGGGCTTATTCCTGACGATGCTTGGGAAGCATGTGTAGATCGGGGGTGTGGGACTGGGGTCAGCAGTTTTTCAGGGCGAGCGCCTGCCCACTCATGCCTTCCCACTCGGTATCCCATGAACATTAGGGACTAAAAGAATGTGCAGAAAAAGGAAATCTCTCATGGATTCCAGTTTTCCCCCTACAAAAAAGGAAAAAAATAAGATTTTTTTTTTTTGCATCACACCCAGCAATGCTCAGGGGTTACTCCTGGTTCTGCATTCAGAAATTATCCCTGGCGGTACTTGGGGGACCATATGGGAGGCCGGAGATTGAACTCAGGTCGGCTGTGTGCAAGGCAAACGCCCTACCTGCTATGCTATCACTCCAGCCCAAAAATAAGATTTCTTTTGGAGGGAAGCAGCCCCCCCCCCTATTTTTTTTGAGGGGTGGGAGTTTGGGTCACAACCGGCAGTTTGTTCAGGGCTTAAACTCCTGGCTCTGTGCTCAGGGATCACTCCTGGCAAGGTTCAGGGGGTTCAGGGGATTGAACCCAGGCTGGCTGTGGACCAGGCAGGCGCCCTTAACCATCGCTCCAGCCCAGGAAACAGCAAATTTTGACCCAGTGCCCCGATGTCCATAGAAACAGATGAAAATCTGGGAGTGGTGGGAGGGATACTGGGAACATTGGTGATGGAGAATGGGCACTGGTGGAGGGATGGGTACTCGATCATTCTGTGACTGAAACAGAAGCAGCACGAAAGTTTGTAAGTCTGTAACCACCTCACGGTGATTCATCAAATTTTTTTTTTTTTTAAAGAAGTGGGTAAAAATCTGATGAAAGGTTTGAAACCGCCCCAGAGAAGTCAGGCACCGCAAGCTCCACCTAGAACAATGGTCCTTGTCTTACTCCCCAACCTTCCCCTGCCCCCCCCAGACCCTAAAGATAAGGGCGGTTGCGTCAGTTTATTCTTTCCTTGTTTAGCTTCCTAGATAAGAGGAGGCTGCGTATGGCACCAGCTGTGGATCTCCAATCCATGCCATCTTCTCTGCTCTTTCCTTCCTTGCCATGGGGAGGGCATGATGGTGGTTTCCCAACCTTGCCAGGGCATGAGTCGTCCACCCTCCAGCCTGCCTACCTGGTGCCCATAAAGCTCTTTCTTTACTTTTTTTTTGTATTTATTTATTAACTTTTCATAAAGTCTCTTTGTGTGTGTTTGTGGGGTTTTTTTTTTTTTTTTGCTTTTGGGGTCACAGTCGGCAATGCTCAGGGGTTATCAGGGGTTGTTCCTGGCTCTGCACTCAGGAATTACTCCTGGCGGTGCTCAGGGGACTATCAGGGATATTGGGGATCGAGTCCGGATCGGCCACCTGCAAAGCAAACATCCTCCCTGCTGGACTATTGCTCTGGGTCTATAAAGCTCTTTCTTGACTTACTCCGCACCCACCCCCCAAAAAGAAAAACCTGCCCACATAGTACCCATAAAACTTTCTCATCAAAAGTTAAAATATAAAAGTCTCCCTGCCTGTGTGGTGCCCATAAAACTCTCCACTCAACTGAAAAAAAAAAAAAAAGAGAAAAAATTCCCCTTGGCTACATGATACCCATAAAGCTCTTTCTATCCAAAACAAAACAAAACAAAAAAACCTCCCATGGTCTCTTAGTTCAGTTGGCTATAATTGGGGTGGGGGGTGGGCCCAGAAATTTTGAAACTCTGGTGGCTTTCCTCTGCACCCTGGTGCTTTGTGTCCCCATGCTAAGAATGCTTTTCTTAGGCTGCGTTTTCTTGGTGACTGGGTCCAGGAAATGGGGACACTTGGCAATGAACCTGGGGGTGGTGATAGTTAATTATCCAGATTTCATCTATTTTCCCCCCTTTTTTTAAAAATTTTTACTTTTTAGTCACACCCAGTGATGCTCAGGGGTTATTCCTGGCTCTGCACTCAGAAATTACTCCTGGCGGTGCTTGGGGGACCATATGGGATGCCGGGGATCAAACCCAGGTCGGCCGCATGCAAGGCAAATGGCCTACCCACTGTGCTATCGCTCTGGCCCTATTCTCCCCTTTTTAAAAAACTCGGGCTGGGGCTGGAGAGATAGCACAGCGGGTAGGGCGTTTGCCTTGCACGCGGCGGACCCGGGTTTGATTCCCAGCATCCCATATGGTCCCCTGAGCACCGCCAGGAGTAACTTCTGAGTGCAGAGCCAGGAGTAACCCCTGTGCCCACACACCACCAGGAGTGATCCCTGAGCACAGAGCCAGGAGGAAGCCCTGAGCACTGCCCCTCCCCCCAAAAAAGTAATATATATGTATTATGTATATATATATGTATTATGTAATATATGTATAAATATATATATATTGGCTTTTGGGGTCACACCCAGTAATGCACAGGGGTTACTCCTGGCTCTGCACTCCAGGAATTACTCCTGGAGATGCTCGGGTAACCATATGGAATGCTGGGGATCGAACCCAGGTCGGCCGCATGCAAGGGAAACACCCTACTCACTGTACTATCACTCCAGCCCCCAAAAGTCATATCTTAACGCTGCCTCATCATCCTATTTCCTCTCATGAACAAGAGCTTCTAACATACACTGAGTACCTTTGATGCCCCTAAGAGAGGCCATGGGGGCCGGGGAGATAGTACAGTGGGTAAGGTGCTTGCTTGCCTTGCATGAGGCAGACCTTGGTTTTGTTCCCACCAGGAGTGATTCCTGAGCACGGAGTCAGGAGTCTGCTCTTGAACACCGCCAGACGTGGCCCAGACTCCTTCCCTATAAGAAAAAGGGATATTTGGGGCTGGAGAGATAGCACTGCGGGTAGGGCATTTGTCTTGCACGCGGCCAACCCGGGTTTGATTCCCAGCATCCCATATGGTCCCCTGGGCACCACTAGGAGTAACTCCTGAGTGCAGAGCCAGGAGTAACCCCTGGCGATTACTCCAAATAATAATAGGGGTTACTCCAAAAAGAAAAAAAAAGAGAAATATTTGATTCTGAGAAAAAGTACAAGGGTTAAGGCATACAACGTGGCATACAGCTGACCCTAGCAACATCCTAGGCATGACCTAGCCCCCACTGAACGCCGCCAGGAGTGATCCTTACAAATGTAGCCTAACTCCCCCCACCCCACCCCCAGCAGTGTGGGGAAAAAATAAAAATCAGTGGTGGCTTGGTTCCTGGGAGGTGAGGTCACCTGGAACCTAGGTCTTATCGGTACCCCAGGAAGGAAGTCAAGTTGGAAGTTTCAGAGGCTGTTTCTGGGGTCCCTGTAGTTCTTGTGGCCCAGGGGACAGACTTCCCCGCACTCAGAATAGCAGCTTTTGGTCCTTACTTCATGGCTTGTGGGGCTGCTGTTGTTGGGACATCGAAGTGAGATGCTCTCCCCTGGGTACCAGTGTGGGTCTGCTCTTGTGGGGGGGGGGGCGGTGCATGCATGAAAGAGAAATAGGTGTGATTTTAAGGGGGCCTCCTGAATCAAATGGGGGCGTTCTGCAAGGTAAAAGTGGGCTTTGGTGCCCTAGACCTGCCCACAACAGGAAAACCCCTGGTTTCCCCTCGGGACAAACAGATTTGTATGTTAAGTGGGGACAAATGTATTCGTATTTGCTCATTAGAAGAAGGTCGGGAATGTTAGTGTGTGAGTTTACTGAAACTCACAGAAGGATTCGGCGTTCTCTGGGCAAATGAGCTAGCACCCTGCGTGGTGGACAGGGGGCCCCTGAGGTCGGGATCTGGGCTCGCAGTCAGTCCCCCATTCACCACTTCCCTCCTTCCCGCCCACCAGGATGCCTTCCGTGCCTTTCACCGGGACCTGAACTTGGTGGGGAAGTTCTTGAAGCCTCTGCTCATCGGGGAGCTGGCGGCCGACGAGCCCAGCCAGGACCGGAACAAGAACGTAAGAACCCAGGCCCTGCCGGGGAGCAAGGGGGATGGTGGTGGTAGAGAGGGTCCTGTCTTGCCAGCTGCATGTCATGCCCCCTAGAATGACTCACTCACTCCCCTCAGGCTGGCCAGGCTGGTGCGTGTGTGTGTGTGTGTGTGTGTGTGTGTGTGTGTGTGTGTGTATGTGTATGTCCATGTCCTAGACTCACCCCACGACCCCCAGGAGATGGCATTTGCCTCCAGGCCCCTTCTCGAAGCCCCCTCTTCCTCCTCCTGCAGGCTCCCCCCACCCCCTCCCTGCGAGCTTTGCTGCCCTGCCCATCCCTGCCCGGCCCTGCCCATTCTGCCCACACCCCCCACCCCATCACAGCTCCTCCCACTCCCTGGAGCCCCCAGGGCCTTGTGTGCTGCCCACCACCTCCCTCCCCCATGCTGAGGATGAGAGGTGCCATGGGGGAGTGGAAGGCCCATGTGTGGGCATGGCAAGGTGGATTCCATCTCAGCCTCAGTAGCCATCTGCACCTCTATTTCTGTGTTTCTGAGCACAGTGATCACCCACGTGTGGCACTGCCCCAAACTAAAACTCTGCTCCAAGCCCCCCTCCCCCGAAGACGCTGCCCCACTCCCCTCCCCCCACTTAAGAACGCGGCTCTGCTCCCTGTGTATGGATGGGCCGTCTCTTGGCACCTCCTTGAAGGAACCCTGGCCATGTCTGTGCCCGGCCCTGACTCCAACTCACTTGGTGACCTGGGTCTGGAGTCCATCCATAGGTGACCTGGGTCACTATTTCCTTTCTATTTTTTTTTCTTTTTGGGTCACACCCAGTGATGCTCAGGGGTTATTCCTGGCTCTGCACTCAGGAATTACTCCTGGCGGTGCTTGGGGGACCAGATGAGACTCCAGGGATTGAACCCAGGTCGGCCATGTGCAAGGCAAACACCCTACCCGTTGTGCTATCGCTCCGGCCCCTCCTTTCTATTTTTTGCTGGTGGGGGTGTGGGGAGGTTCTGGGGGACCAGTGGGGCCACACCCAGCAGTGCTCGGGCATGTCATGAGGCACTGGAGTCCAAACCCAGGGCCTCAAGCGTGCAAGACCCAGGCCAAAGCCTTAGCACAGCAGAAAGGGCATTGGTTTGCATGCAGCCGACCCAGGCTCAGTTACCAGTACCCCACAGGGTCCCCGGAGCCCTGCCAGGAGTGATCCCTGAGCGCAGAACCAGGAGGAAGCCTTGGCCCAAGAATTTAAAAAAGAAAAAAAAAAAGCAAAAACCATGCAAGATTTGCACCCCAGCCATCTGAGCATTTGTCCCTGCCCCAGCCACCCCACCCATCTCTGGACAGACCCCAGGGAGCCTGGCCCCTTTCTTTGGTGCCCCCGGGGAATGGGGGAACATAGCTTGGGAGGAGGGTTTTGTTTCGTTTTGTTTTTGCTTTTGGGGTCACACCCGGCAATGCACAGGGGTTCCTCCTGGCTCTGCACTCAGGAATTACTCCTGGTGGTGTTCAGGGGAACATACGGGACGCTGGGAATCGAACCTGGGTCAGCCACGTGCAAGGCAAAGGCCCTACCCGCTGTGCTATCCCTCCAGCCCCGAGAGGAGGTTTTGCCAGCAGCAAACGCCTCCTCTCTGCCCTGAGCCAGCTGAGAACCAACCCGTCATTTCTGGGATGGTGCCAGACACCGGAAGGGCAGTGGGTCTGGGTAGTGCGGCCGTAGGTGCCTGCTGGTGTGGCCCACTCTTGCCAGAGCTTCTTTTATTTATTTTTTGCTTTTTGGGTCACACCCAGCGATGCACAGGGGTTACCTCTGGCTCTACACTCAGGAATTACTCCTGACAGTGCTCAGGGGACCCGGCTATGGGATGCCGGGGGTCGAACCTGGGTCGGCCGTGTGCCAGGCAAACGCCCTCCCCGCTGTGCTATTGCTCCAGCCCCTTTTGCCAGAGCATCTTGGGGGGCTGCCCTGTGGGTGTTGAGGACACCGCTTGGCCCCTCCTCCCCCCAAGGCGCCTCGGTTTCCCCAGAGGGCCCAGGCCCACCGTTGTTCCGTGTTGCAGTCTCAGATCACCGAGGACTTCCGGGCCCTGCAGAAGACGGCGGAGGACATGAACCTGTTCAAGAGCAACCACCTCTTCTTCCTGATGCACCTCGCACACATCTTCGTCCTGGAGAGCATCGGCTGGTTCACCCTCTCCTACTTCGGCAACGGCTGGATCCCGACCCTCATCACGGCCTTCATCCTCGCTACCTCTCAGGTGAGGCGAGGCGGAGGGGGGCGTGTCCCCTGGCTGCTCGCTGCCAGTCCCCCACTTCCCCTCCCCACCCCCCTGCCCGGGTGCCCAGGAGCCCCGGGGCTGAGGCTGTGGTGCCCTATCCCCAGGCCCAGGCTGGATGGTTGCAGCATGACTATGGCCACTTGTCGGTCCACTCCAAGTCCAGGTGGAATCACTTCATGCACAAGTTCATAATCGGCCACATGAAGGTAGGGGGCAACCGTCCCAGCTCGGGGCCACGGCATCTTCCTTTCTCCATGCAGGGGTGGGGTGGGGCCCTGAACCCTCCTCCTTTTCCATCTTCTCATTGGTGAGCCCTGCTCAGAGCTTTTACTCCTGGCTCTGTGCTCCGGGATCACTCCTAATGGGGTTCAGGTAGGGGCGGGGGGGCGGGGATTGAACTGTGTAGAAGGCTGTGTAGAAGGCGTGTGTGTGTGTGTGTGTGTGTGTGTGTGTGTGTGTGTGTGTGTGTGTGTGTGATTTAAATGTGTATGTGTGTGGCTTTTTTTTTGGGTGGGGGGACGGGTCATAATTGGTGATGCTCAGGGCTTACTCCTGGCTCTGCGCTCAGGAATTACTCCTGGGGGTGCTCAGCGGACCATATGGGATATCAGGGATCGAACCTGGGTCGGCCACCTGCAAGGCAAATGCCCTCCCCACTGTGCTATCGTTCCGGCCCCTGCACTGTCACTCCTGCCTCTCGGGTTCTCCACTTCTCACAGCTTCTGCACCCCGTCTCCGTGTCTCGGGGACCCCCCTCCAGTGTTCATGGGCTTCCTGCCCCCTCGCAGCTCTCGGGTGAGGGTTTAACTGGTCCCTTTCTTTTCCTTTGGGGTCTGGAAGAAGAGCTCTGTTGATGGGGTAACTCCCTCGGGGTCACACGAGCCATCCGGGGTCTCCCTGGCTCCTTTCTCTCCCTGGGCAGAGGGTGGAAAACATCAATGAGATTGGTCGGGGCTCCATCTGACGGCTTCCTGCTGCTTCTGCAGACCCTCCCTCCCGTTCCAGTTTCTTTCCTTCCATATCTCCTGAGAACCATTCTTATTGTTGTTATTGTTTTGTTTGGGGGGCCACACCCAGCAGTGCTCAGGGCTGGCTCCTGGCTCTGTGTTCAGGGATCACTCCTGGAGGGCTCCGGGGAGGAGGGGGCCAGTGTGCAAGGCCAGCGCCCTCCTCACTCTAGCTCCAGCCTGGAACAGTTCTGGTTCTTAGGAATCTTTTCCCCACAGACCCCCGCAGGCCCCCTTGGGAAGTATTTGGGGTGGGAGAGGCAGGAAAAGTAGGGTTTGTTCTCACGGTCCTTCGAGAAGGGGTCATCAGCAGCACGAGGAGGAGACAGAACGAGAGGTGTTGAGAGCTCAGAAGGGCATCCCATATGGTCCCCCGAGTACCACCAGGAGTAACTCCTGAGGCATGAGCCAGGAGTAACCCCTGAGCATCACCGGGTGTGACCCAAAAAGAAAAAAAAATACACACACATTTAAATCACACACACACACACACACACACACACACACACACACACACAGAGCATCCTCCGTGTGGATGAGGGACAGGAGGTCAGGGCCCTCATGCCCAGCAGAGAGGTACATGTTCTCATTGCTTTGGGAAGTCAGTCCTGGGACCCGAGCCTCCTCCAGGAAGCTTTGTGTCCGGGGCCCAGCTGTCCCGTAGAGGACCTGGACCTCCAGATGTCCCTCCCTGGCATGGGGAAAGCTTGGCATCAGGGTTAAACTAGTCCCTCCTGGGGTTGACCCGCTCTTGAACTTGAGGCCAGTTCACTGTGGGTGGTTGACTTGGCCTGTGGCCATGGCCGCAAAATCTGGTTTCTTTCCAGAATTCCGGGAGATGAGATGGGTGCCGGTGTGGATTTGCCAGTCAGTCACACTAGAGCATTCTGTTTCATCACCCCTGCCTTTCACTGCATCCCATTTGCTGTTCTGGGTAGGGGAGACTGGCACACCGGCCTCGGGGCTGACGGACCAGGGTTCTGGGAGGGCAGAAGGCTCACAGCCAGAGGCAGTGCTGGGACCCCCCCCAATCCCCCCATCCCTCCAGAGTTTGGTTCTTGCGGTGGAGGCAGCCCACACCCGGAAGGCTCTGCTGACTGTTGGCCCTGAGGGCTATTGACATTCCCCTCCTGCTTAGCGGGGGTCTGGGGTCACCCCAGAGCCTGCTGCTGCCTGAGCTCCTCCCACCTGCAGCCTCCTCTGGTAATAAACCATCTGTTCCGCTCATTTAGGTTTGGGGGTCACAACCAGCGGTGCTCAGGGATCACTCCTGGTGGTGTTCGGGGGAGCTTATGTGGTGGCGGGGACCGAACTGGACTCAGCTTGTGCCCTGTCCTCTCTGTCTGGCCCCTAAAGCCTCTGTTTCCGCAGCGGTCCCCTTGTCTCTGGGCGGGCAGATCCATCCCCTAGTGAGTGGGTCCATCCCTTAGTGAATGGCTCCATCCTTTAGTGAGTGGGTCCATCCCTTAGTGAGTGGGTCCATCCCTGGGCGCGTGGGTCCATCCCTTAGTGAATAGGTCCATCCTTTAGTGAATGGGTCCATCCCTTAGTGAGTGGGTCCATCCCTGGGCGCGTGGGTCCATCCCTTAGTGAATAGGTCCATCCTTTAGTGAATGGGTCCATCCCTTAGTGAGTGGGTCCATCCCTGGGCGCGTGGGTCCATCCCTTAGTGAATAGGTCCATCCCTTAGTGAATGGGTCCATCCTTAGTAAGTGTGTCCGTCCCTGGGTGAGTGGGTCCATCCCTGGGCACGTGGGTCCATCCCTTAGTGAATAGGTCCATCCTTTAGTGAATGGGTCCATCCCTTAGTGAGTGGGTCCATCCCTTAGTGAATGGCTCCATCCTTTAGTGAGTGGGTCCATCCCTGGGTGGGTGGATCCATCCCTGGGCAGGTGGGTCCATCCCTTAGTGAGTGGGTCCGTCCCTGGGTGAGTGGGTCCATCCCTGGGCACGTGGGTCCATCCCTTAGTGAATAGGTCCATCCTTTAGTGAATGGGTCCATCCCTTAGTGAGTGGGTCCGTCCCTGGGTGAGTGGGTCCATCTCTGGGTGAGTGGGTCCATCCCTGGGCGCGTGGGTCCGTCCCTTAGTGAATAGGTCCATCCCTTAGTGAATGGGTCCATCCCTTAGTGAATAGGTCCATCCTTTAGTGAATGGGTCCATCCCTTAGTGAGTGGGTCCGTCCCTGGGTGAGTGGGTCCGTCTCTGGGTGAGTGGGTCCGTCTCTGGGTGAGTGGGTCCATCCCTGGGCGCATGGGTCCGTCCCTTAGTGAATAGGTCCATCCCTTAGTGAATGGGTCCATCCCTTAGTGAGTGGGTCCATCCCTGGGCTCGTGGGTCTATCCCTTAGTGAATAGTCCATCCTTTAGTGAATGGGTCCCTGGGTGAGTGGGTCCGTCTCTGGGTGAGTGGGTCCATCCCTGGGCACGTGGGTCCATCCCTTAGTGAATAGGTCCATCCTTTAGTGAATGGGTCCATCCCTTAGTGAGTGGGTCCATCCCTTAGTAAGTGGGTCCGTCCCTGGGTGAGGGGGTCCATTCCTGCAGGTTGTTCCAGCCCGTGGTTAATGGACCCTCCATATCTGGCTGGGCGGGTTCATTCCTGGTCAGGTGGGTTCGCTTCTGGGCGGGTGGGCCCGTCTCCATGTTCGGTTGTTTTGAAGCCTTGCTCGTGGGGACCCCCGGGAATGCTCATGTTTGACACTGCTCCGGCTCTCATTTCCCCCTGGCCTCAGCATAGACCCATATATTACGCCTTTGCCAGTGAGCATTGGGCCTGTCTGTTTCTGTTTAAACCATGACACTTCCCTGTCCTACAGCCCTGCCCTGCCCACAGTCACCCGGGGATCCCCTGGCCTGGTTGGGGTCAGCGGAGCACAGGGCCCCTCCCCATAACCCACAGAATTCCTCCCCGATGGGCCTCTCTCCTCCCTCCTGGGGATCGGGCTGGGGTACCTTTCGGCACTCGGAACCCTGGTAGGGTCATCTCTGGACTCTCGGACCCGAGACCGTGTGTGTGTGGGGGGGGAGTGGGCGTTGGGTATGTCAGGTGCCAGGGCCACCTCAAGGCCGCCCGCTGCCCGCTCACCTGTCCTCCCCCGCAGGGCGCCTCGGCGAACTGGTGGAACCACCGTCACTTCCAGCACCACGCCAAGCCCAACATCTTCCACAAGGACCCCGACGTGAACATGCTGCACGTGTTCGTGCTGGGCGAGTGGCAGCCCGTCGAGGTAGGGGCCAGGGGACGGGTAAGGCCTGGGCAGGGAGCCAGGAGCCCTGGGGTGCATTGGCAGAGACAGCTGGTTCCGATGTGGACGCGGAAACCCATCCAGGACGCCCTGAATTATTCAGGCCGAGTCTCTGCGGCCTCTGAGGGCCTGTCCTCCCCAGGGGGGAGGGAACTGGGGGCCCATGGGCCAGCTGCAGGGAATCTGCCAGGGGCAACTACTCTCCTGCAGTCACTTTCATTATGGAAACATGTTTGTAGCACGTATTGGTTCAGAAGCAGATGTGTAAGTGGTTCAGAAATTCATGTGTGGCAGTTACTTGTTCAGAAATCGACAAAACTGACATTTTTTTTTAAATGTATTTAGAGGCTGGAGTGATAGCACAGCAGGTAAGGCATTTGCCTTGCACGCAGCCAACCCCGGTTCAATTCCCAGCATCCTATATGGTCCCCTGAGCACTGTCGGGAGTAATTCCTGAGTACAGAACCAAGAGTAACCCCTGAACATCGCCGGGTGTGACCCAAAAAACAAAAAACAAAAAAAAAGAATATATTTATTACGGTTTGGGCGTCACACCCAGTGATGTGCAGGGGTTACCCTTAGCTCTGCACTGAGGAATCACTCCTGATGGGGCTTAGGGAACTGTATGGGATGCTGCCGGGGGGCTACTCCTGGCTCTGCTCTCAGGGATCGCTCCTGGCGGGCTCAGGAGACCGTGTGGAATGGCAGGAATGGAACCCAGAGTGCTGTTTGCAAAGCAAGCCATGCCCTGTGCAAGCATCCTGCCTGATGCCCTATCGCTGAGATACATAGTTACAAAGTTGCTCATGATTGGATTTCAGTGATACAATGTTCCAACACTCTCTCTTCCCCAGTGCAGTTTCCCACCACCAATGTCCCCAGTTTCCCTCCCTTCCCCCATTTTTCTCCTCTCTCTCTCAAACTGACCATCTCTGACCACCAGAAGTTGTGCCGCAAGCACCCACTCTTTGTCACCTGCAGGCCCCTGGGGACACCATGCTGTGTGGCCTTCCAGATCGTTTCTGTGACATTTGTAGAAATCTGCTCTTATTTTTTGTTGAGAAGCAAAAAAAAGTGAATTAGATGTTTCCGTTCTGCCCCTTGCCTCCTCACCAGAGAGGAGGGTGGGCAGTGTCCGCCCCCTCTTTGGAAAGAGGAAAATCTGATCTTGATGAGTGTGGGGGACAGCCTTCATTGGAGGGCTTCTATGTCGGGGAAGGGAGGATGGGGGGAGCAAGAGGGTCTCTCCTCGCAGTTCTTTTTTCTTTTTTTTATTATATTTTCATAAGGTTGTTCACATTAATCGATTACATTCAATATTTCAACACCAATCCCACCACCCTGACACTGTCCCACCACCATTATTTCAAATGTTCCCACCACCATTCAAGCCTGCCTGCCAGGGGCAGATGCTAGATCATTTATTTTCTATTGCTTATTATGAATATCATGAGAGCTTCTAGATTCTAAAATTGTAAATGGTTGGGGCTGGAGCGATAGCACAGCGGGTAGGGCGTTTGCCTTGCATGCGTCCAACCTGGGTTCAATTCCCAGCATCCCATATGGTCCCCTGAGCACCACCAGGAGTAATTCCTGAGTGCAGAGCCTGGAGGAACCCCTGAGCATCACCAGGTGTGACCCAAAAAGCAAAAATAAAAATAAAATTGTGAATGGTTGGGGTCCAGAGACATCACTGTAGGGAGCTAGCTAATCCATTTTGAGATTAATTTGGGAGTCTCTGGATCAAGGCCGTTGATGTGCTGACTCCTTTTGGGTTTTTTTTTTGGGGGGGGGGGTCACACCAGCAGTACACAGGGGTTACTCCTGGTTCTGCACTCAGGAATTACTCAGGGAACCATATGGGATGCTAGGAATCAAACCCGGGTCGGCCGCGTGCAAGGCAAACGCCCTACCCACTGAGCTCTCACTCCAGCCCCACCTTTTGGTTCTTATGGGACCGCCTGGTACCAAGGATCATACCGCATGGGAAGCCCCCTCCAGCCCTCTGACCCACCTCCCAGCCTGATGAAAAAAATCCTCCCCCAGGGCCAGAGAGATGATATAGTGAGTAGGATGTTTATCTTGCACACGACCAACCCGGGTTCAATCCCCCATACCACCAGGAGTGATCCCCGAGTGCAGAGCCAGGAGTAAGCCCTGAGCATCACTGGCTGTGACCCCTACCTTCCCCCCAAAAAAACAAATTCTCCCCATATTTTAGTTTTTGAGGAAAACTAAAACTTTAGTTTTGTGTGAGGTGGTGTGAGGTGTTGTGTGGTGAGACCCCTAGTATTTGGAGCCTACCTCCAGGGAAATCTTGCCCAGAAATCTGGGATTTTCCACTGAGGTTTGTCACGTCAGAGTTCAAGAGCCGAGCCTGGGGCCTTGGGAAGCCCCCGGGCCCACACACATGCTGGCTCTTGGGTGCCAGGGAACAGCTGGTCAGCGGCCACTTTTATGGTGTCCCAGCTGATCACAGTGATCCCCTCGTCCTTCTGATAAGTGAGACAAAAGCTCCGCTTTCCCGGAGGCCGTGTGGCAGGGCCTCGGGCTGTCCTAACCGATGTCCCCGTGTCCCTGGCAACGGGCCCTTGGTCGGGCCCCGCCCCCTACAGAGCCTCCTGCCCGGTGTGGGGGCCCTTGTTGCCCCCTTGTATTTGTGGTTTCCTGGCGAGCAGGAGACAAGCAATAGGACAAGGAACACTCTTGTCTTCCTCAGACATTTTGTTCCGAAGCTGGAGGTTTATCAAGAGCCCGAGTCTGTGCCAGGCGAAGTTCAGGGGTGGCGGGGGCCCCCCCCCTCCTGCCGCCAGCCTTGGCTTGGGGACGCGTGACCCTGCTCAGAGCCAGCCCAGCGTGGGCCCCCACGGCTCCTTTTGGGGATGGGGGGGCGGGGGATGTTGGGCTGTGGGGCCACACCCAGAGTGACTCAGGGTTTACTTCTGGCCACTCACCACCAGAGTGACCCCTGGCCATGCTCCGGGTACCAGAGAGGATGCCGGGGGTCTCACCAGGCTGAGCTGCAGGTGGGATGTGCATTGTAGCGCTCCCACCCGGGGTGGGGCTGTCTTTCCTGCCCCACCATTGGCCGTAAGCAGCCCCGCAGCTCACTGTGGCCCCTCAGCAGGGGTCAAGCACCCTTGGGTTCAGGAGCTCCTCTTAGTAGTCTGTGATCAGGTGGACCATGGGGCTCAGTGAGAGGCGGGGTACAGACCCGTCCCCTGCCCCCAACATTCTGACAGGAACAGCATCTCCTGCTCTCAGAGCTGATGGGGTGTGGAGGGATACAGGTGGTCCCGGTCCTGGGTGAAAGGGAGTCAGGGAGGGACCCGGCCAGTCCAGGGCAGGTGTGTGGGGTGGGGTCTGGGGGCGCCCAGCTCAGGGTCTCCATCTCTCCTCAGTACGGCAAGAAGAAGCTGAAGTATCTGCCCTACAACCGCCAGCATGAGTACTTCTTCCTGAGTGAGTGCCAGGACCCCCGCCGTTGGTGCCCCTCACGCCCCGTCGGGTGGGGCCACAGCCACGCCCTGCATGGACCCCACCCACCCACCCCACCGGGTGGGATGGGGGGACGGGACACTCCAGAATTACCCCCAGGCCCCGACTGCGTGTGTGTGGGGAGGGTGGGGGGGTTCCCATCCTCACCGGCCCCGTCCCGCTCATCCACCTGAGCGACAGCTCCCTCGCTGCCGCCCGCCCTGCCTCCTCCCCGAGTTTTCGGACACGTGGACACGCCCCAGCACCCATCTCTCCCCCCTGCAGTCGGGCCCCCGCTGCTCATCCCCATGTACTTCCAGTACCAGATCATCATGACCATGATCGTGCGCAAGGACTGGGTGGTGAGTCTTGGGCTGGGGCAGGGTGGGCAGCGGGCGGCTCTGGCTCCTCCCAGCCTTATACACGGATACTGTGTCCTGGGGGGTGTCGGGATGGGGGATCCCAAGATTACAGGGCCACCAGCCGCCCCTGCATGTCTGGCTTTGCATCCGGACGCCCCTTTCCTAAGGACACTGGGCCAGAGTGGGGGGAGTTTCCTGCAGACCTCCCCCTGCTCTGGTCCCCTCTACAGGGACCCCACTGCAATCTGGGGCTCAGGACGTGTGTGCTGGGGATTGGCGGGGAATGGGTGGGGACACTCTAGCCCAGGCTTGGCAGCATCTGAGCAAGTCTTCTGCTCCTGGTAGGGGGGGGTGCTCCTTGAACAGTGGGGGGCTTATGTGCCTCCTGGGGGGTCTACAGACATGTGGGGTGTGAGTGAGGGGCCGAGAGGGCGGAGCTTGTCCCTGACTTTTGTCCTGGGTGAGTTTCCGAGGCTGGAAGTGGGTCTCAGGGCCCAGCAGATGCCCCAGAGCCTCCGTCAGTTTGGCTGCTCTGTGCCGGTGTGGGTTTGGATTCGGGGCCTCCTGGGAGGCCACTCTTGGCCTGGGGGCACCCCGTGCTTGGCGTTGGGGAAGGGACCCGAGTTTTCCCCACGCAAAGCTGCAGCCTGCTGGCTTCCCCCTGCTAGCCCTGCCTGTCCCTCCCTCTCTGTCCCTCTGCCTCTCTTCCTACGTGACCACATGGATGTTTCTGATTCCCCCCCACACCTCAGTGCCTCCCGCCGGCCTTGACATTTGAAGGGCTTCCGAGTACTTTTATGGACTGGCCCTAAAAATAAGGCCTTCGGGGCCAGCGCAATGCGCCCCGGGGTGGATTGACCTCCCATCCGGGGCTTCGGCCCTGGCACCATAGTCGTGGTTGCGGAGGGGGGTGGGGGGTGGGGCACAGAGTAGCCCCCTCCTACAAAAACATGAAGTTCAGGCTGCCCCTGCTGAGTGACGCTCCGTGGTGACCCCTAGGCTCCCTGGACACTGAGCCAGGCCCGGCCCAGGTGAACCCATGTAACCTCACTTCTAGGACGCGCTGTTTCCCGCGGGACATACATGTGCCAGGAACAGCCAGGCGCTGCCAGCCTGGCTCAGTTCTTGAACCCCAGGGGTGCAGGGCCCGGGCGAGAGGCTGTGTGGTCGCGGTGAGCTCGATGGAGGAAACTCGAGCCCAGGCCGGCAGTTGCAGTGGCCGCCCGGGCCTGCTGTGGGGGCGGGGAGGAGGCTGGGGATATTTTAATCGGCTTTCATGACAAATGATTCTGGACATGAATATTTCATTTATTTTTTTTTTCTTCCTCTGCTCCTTCCCTGAGGAACAAAGCCTCCAATGGTGGGGGAGGAAATTCAGACACTCAGAGGCTCAGGTGGCAAAACCAGGGAATATGATCGGCCCCTCAGCCCTCTGGGGGCCCTGGGCCCTGCCCTCGCCCGGCAGGGCAGTGGGGCCACATGGGAGGGCCTCTGTTTCCTGTGTGGCTGTTCCCTGCTGTCGCCCCCCCCCCCATGGCCTGTGCAAAGACTTGGGGCTCCTCGTATCCCTGCCTGTGCCCACACAGGCAAAGGCACGCTCTGTCCTCTGAGTCAGCCGCCCGCACTGTGGGCACCTGGGTGGGCAGTCGCAGGAAGACAGTTGTGACGGCCATATGGCAGTATCTAAAGACAGGTTTTTATTTGGAGGGAGGGAAGTCTGGGCCGTACCTGGCGATGCTCAGGGCTTACTCCCGGCTCTGCGTCCAGGGGTCACTCCCGGTGGGGCTCTGGGGACCGACCCTCTGTGGTGCCGGGGATCGAACCGGGATCAGCTAATGCTCTGGTTCTGCCTCCGGCCCCAGGCAGCTTTGCTGGTGCCTATCGGGGGATGGGGGGGTGTGCTTCTCTCTAGCAGGCATTTGACCAGGCAGGTGGCACAGCAAGCCCAGGTCAGGCCACCCCGCCCCCCATGGATAAGAATTATCCTCCCTGGCTGTGTGAGGGTCGAGCAACCCCCAAAGCGTCTCAGGCTGAGCCCCACAGACCCCGGGACCCGTCCTGGGGGTTCCATCCTGGGGGGTTCCCTCCCCCCGTCCTCTGAAAATTCTCCCCTAAGCAGCCCAGCCCTGCTGTTCACCTCACTCCTGGGGGAAGTGGTAGGGCCCAGGTTGGCCAGTGGCCCCCAGCCCTGCCCACTGCTCTGTCCTCACTCTCAGCTGAGCCGCCGATGCCTGGAGTGGTGGGGGGTGGGGGGGTACCATGCCGCAGCCTCTGCCCCTGGATCAGCCTAGAGTCTCTCTCCTCACTGGCTGGGGGGCTGGGGGCTGCCTGGTTCAGGGGTCCCTCCCACCCCCTGGTCATTTCCTGCCCGAGAGACTGAAATAGCCTGGTGTCTGCATCAACAGTTGGCAGGAAACTAGTAAGACCATTTGGGTGCATCTGTTGGTGCTCTTCCTGCCGCACGGGGGCAGGGGGAGGGGCCAGGGGGTAGGGCCTATGGGCCAGTGGAGGCCCTCGTGGACTGAGCCGGTGGGAATGTGTGAGCGCAGTCCTCCCCAGATTCACGCAGGCACCGCACATACACACACACACACACACACACACACACACACATAACTACTGCACACTGCACACACTGTCTTTGCACTGTGTATACATACACACACACACCCCTCCCGATACTTGATACACAAATCCTCCTGCTGTGCGCACACACAGCCTTTCCACCATGCACACGCGCGCACGCACACACACACATTCACACACACACACCCCTTCTGATACACAAATCCCCCTGCTGCACACACACACACCCCCTACTGCATGCACAGTCTTTCCACCATGCACACACACACACACACACACACACACACACACACAAATATCACACCCCCTCCCACTACACAAGACAGGCTCGTCCAGGTAGGTCACAGTGGTGGGGATCAGGGCCATCTTGAGCTCCGGAGGGTAGTCCAGGCTCCGGGGTGCCCACAGGGGAGCAGCAGGCCAGTGTGGAGCTGCAACCGTGTCCAGCAGGTGCGCTGGGACCCGGTACCTGCCAGGAAGCAAATCCCTCCCCTCCCCGAGGGGCGTCATGGGGAGCAGGCGGGTGGGCAGTGTGGGCTCAGGGGCACCCACTGGCCTTTGCCCTGCCACGCTGTCCCGCTGCAGGGCAGAAGGAACCCCGGGCAGGGCTAAAGGGCAGCTTGGGGGCCTGCCCCATGTCAGGGCCATGTGTCGATGGTCACTGGCACCTTCAGAAACCACCCTCCCTCCCGCATCCCCCAGAGCCAGCCCCTGCCTTTTCTTCTTTTTCTTTTCTTTTTGGGTCACATCTGGTGATGCACAGGGATTACTCCTGGCGGTGCTCAGGGGACCATAGGGGATGCTGGGAATCAAACTCGGGTCGGCTGCCTGCAAGGCAAAAATGCCCTCCCCACTGTGCTATCACTCCAGCCCCGCCCCTGCCTTTACAAGGGCCACTGTAGCCTGCAGAGTCGCCCATGTGCCCACCCACTGCCTGCAGGTGCCTGGGGCAGCCAGCCTCATCCAGTGTCCGTGTCCCCCCCCACCCCCCCCCCGCAGGACCTGGCCTGGGCCATCAGCTACTACACCCGCTTCTTCATCACCTACACCCCCTTCTACGGCGTCTTGGGGGCCTTGCTCTTCCTCAACTTAATCAGGTGCCAGCTCAACCCGGGAAGGAGGGCCGGTGGGGATGAGGGGGGTAGGGCGGGGGGCGAGCCCCTGCAGGGAACTGAGCCACCCATGCCTGCAGGTTCCTGGAGAGCCACTGGTTCGTGTGGGTCACGCAAATGAACCACATCGTCATGGAGATTGACCGGGAGCCCTATCGGGACTGGTTCAGCAGCCAGGTGAGGTCCAGAGCCCGGCCCCTGGCATGGCAGCCCTGTGGGGATGGACAGGCCAGGGGGCATGTGGTCTGGCCCCAGGGCCACTCACTGCCCACCACTGCCTCCCCCCTAGCTGGCGGCCACGTGCAACGTGGAGCAATCCTTCTTCAACGACTGGTTTAGCGGACACCTCAACTTCCAGATCGAGCACCAGTGAGTTCCCCGGGGCTGGCGGCGGGGGAGGGGGTGGGGTGCCCTGTTGGCCCGTCTCACGCCCTCCCCTGCCCCGCCCCTTCTCCAGGGACTTGCTCCCACCCTGGACTGACCGTGCCCCCGCCCCTCTGTCTGCAGCCTGTTCCCCACCATGCCCCGCCACAACTACCACAAGGTGGCACCGCTAGTGAGATCCCTGTGTGCCAAGCATGGCATCGACTACCAGGAGAAGCCGCTGCTCAGGGCCCTGCAGGATATTGTCAAGTGGGTGGCCCGGGGTGGGGTGGTGGGCCGCGGGGGAGGGGGCGGGGGTGGCAGCCCTCCCGTGTGTCCTGTGCAGGGCTCCTGGGGGGCTCTCACCCGTTGCGCTGACTCAGTGCCCACCCCTGCCCGGCCCCCTGACCGCTCCATCTGTGCAGGTCCCTGAAGAAGTCGGGAGAGCTCTGGCTGGATGCATACCTCCACAAGTGAAGCCGCGGCCTGGCGGGGGCAGGGCGGCAGCTGGCGGCCACAGCAGGCTTGGCCCCGTCCCCCCTCTTCCCGTCCCTTCTCCCCTCCTGCGCCTCTGGTTCCGCCCCATCCCCCCCCCCCCCGGGGCCTACAGCCCCTCCTCCCCCAATTCTTCCTCAGAGGCTCTGAGTGGGGGCCCTAGCAGGTGCCCCCTGGGACCCCTTCAGAGCCTGGGGCTCAGTGGAATCCACCCCACCCCACCCCATCCCACCCCCCACGGCTAGGCACACCCCTTCTCACTGCCTTCTGCACTCACACCTTTTTTCTGGTTTGGTAACCCTTTTTTTGCTGTAGCATCTCTCCTGACATCAGGCGGGGATGCTGGGTGCTGGGCCTCTGACAATCTTACCTTCTGCCACCAGCAGGCTCGCCCCGGGTGTGGGGGGGGGGGGAGGAAGTGACCCAGGGATGCTGAGGAAGGAAGTGGGGGGTGACGTGAGGAGACCCGGGGCCAGGGCCCAGGGGTGCCCTGGGATCTAACCCCACTAACCCGTTTGTAACTTGGGCTGGAGCCCGGGAGACAGCACTGAGCATGGGGGGGCCTTCGGGTGACAGCGCCTCGGGGGTCACAGTGAGATGACCCCCCCACCCCCTTAGCGGTAGCTGCTCTGGGAGGGCCCCTGCCAGGAACACCCCAGCCTTGAAGCCGCCGTGCCCTCTACCCGGAACTGGCCGGGACCCGCCCTTCATTATCACTCGGTTCCCCACCCCGCTCTGTGATTTTCAGGAAATAAAGAAGTAATTTTATTCTCATGCCTTCGCTGGGCTTGTGTCTCGGTGCTGGGGGTGCCCCCTGCTACCCCCCCACTCCACCCTGTGGTTTCCTGCCTGACCTCCCGCTCCGTGGTCCGGCCACTCCCCCAGTCCCCCCAGGCGCAGCCCAGCACCCCTGGACCCAGAAACTTTCTGGGCGTTGTCTGGGGGAGCAGGGCTGGCTGAGCCTCGGTGTGTCTCAGGACTGGGTTCTAGGGGCAAGGGATGCCCTGGCCTCCAAGGGGCTGTGCCCTGAAGGCCACCACTTCCTGCTTAGCGATTTGGGGGTGGGCTGCGTGCCCAGTCCTGGCCTAATGTCTCAGGTCTCTAAGTAGTGGCACAGTGGCTGGTCTGACACTCAAATTTTGTTGTTGTTGTTGTTGGTTTTTGGGCAATGCTCGATGCTCGGGGCTTACTCCTGGCTCCATACTCAGGAGTTGCCCCTGGTGGGACTCGGAGGACCAGATGGGGTACTGGGGATTGAACCCAGGCTGGCCGCATGCAGGGCAAATGCCCGTCCTCCTTCCTCACCCCCCTCCCGCCCCCCCAGTTGCACTATCACTTCAGTCCCTCAACCCTCAATGCCTGAGCCTGGGGAAGGAGCAGGGGATGGCCGGGGGCCCCAAACGGGGTCTCCGGGCCAGAAGCTCGAGGGTGGACCCTGGCCTCCCTTTTCCTGGGCCCCTGAGAGCCGGCCTGGACAGCAGAATCCCTGGAGCTGGTCCCCAGGGGCTGAGATCTGAGTGCTTGGCCCTTCTAATTCTCGGGGCTCCCCCTTGTACCATGAGGGCTCTAGGGTCCCAGGATACAGTTCCATGCCTGCCACCTGTTCCCCCAGGCAGGCGGTTGGGGACCACACCTGCCTCCCACCTCAGGGAAGCTTCTGGGGAAGTTGTAGAGTAGGTCCCTCCCCTGCAAGCTCACACCCATGTCCAGCACTGGGCCAGAGAGGGAAAGAGCAGGGGTCACTGCAGAGTGAGGGGCTGGGCAGTCTTGGCACTGGCACAGGAGCACCAGATGCTTGAGCCTGAAGTGGGGGTGGGGGCAGCACGCAGAGCTGTGGGTGACCCTACAGCCCCCAAGACAGGCCCGGCAGTTATTTCCCGGGCGTCCAGCAGGCCTCTGGGCATGGGGTCCGTGGAGGCCGGGACAGCTGCCCCCAGGCCATTGGAGACGGGGATTGGGGATTGTCCCCCGCTACGGCCCGGGAGAGGGGCCCTCTCTGGGCCACGCAGCTTCCCGGAGCACACGTGGCAGGGCGCTGTGGTCCAAGTGCCCGCAGGCCTGAGTCCGAGGACTACTGTGTCTGGCTCCCCCCCCCACACACACACACCCCTGTCCATCCCCTCCAGTTGTTGCTCCTGGAGAATTCGTGAAAGAGGGAGGCAGCGAGGGCCTAAGGGGTGTGATGTGAGTGCGTGTGTATGTGTGTGTGAGTGAATGTATATGTGTATGTGTGCGTGCGTAAGTGAATGTGTATTTGTGTGACTGAATGTATATGAATGTGTATGTGTGTGTATGTGAGTGAATGCGTGGATGTGTTTGTGCATGTGTGAATGTGTTTATGTGACTGTGTGAATATACGTGTGTGAGTCAATGTGTGTGAATGTGTTTGTGCATGTGTGTATGTTTGCGTGAGTGAACGTGTGTGAATATGTATGTGAATGTGTGTCTGTGAGTATGTGTGTAAAAGTTCAGTCACAGACCCACTCGTGACACTCCACACTTGCTGGTTCTTGTGGATCGGCCTCTCAGGCTTCCCCCGGGCCCTGCCCTCCTTCCCCTCACAAATCCGGCCCTAAGTTGCGTGGCAGGCGCTGTGGGGCAGAGCAGAGACCCTGAGTTCAGGATCCAGGCCAGGCAGATGGATCGGGGAAGGGGGGGGGGGGGGGGGGGGAGGAGGGGAGAGGTTGCATGCGCTCCCCCAGGCCACCGCTAGGGGCGCACGCGGCGTGGCTGCCACATCCATGCAGAGCCCCTGGGAGCCTCTGGGTGGTGCTAGAGGCCATGGTTTCCCGTGGGGGGGGGGGGGTTGTTAGGAGTGTTGCCAGCCATGGAGGTGCCTAGGCCCGCTCTGCCCGGTTAGGACGGAGGGTCCCGCTGCTGCCTCAGCTGCACTGGCAACCTGGGTTTCCCCAGGACAGTGGGCTTTCTGCAGGCCAGGGCAAAGGTCTGGTCTCAGATCCCAGCAGGTGGCAATATCCAACAGGTGTTTGGGGTGTGTGTGTGTGTGTGTCTGTGTGTGTCTGTGTGTCTGTGTAGAGGGGGGCTGGGGTGGCGGGTACTACTGCCCACCTCCCATTTCCCACCTTGAGAAGCCCCAAGAGAAAGCTCCCCAGAACCATCAGAAAAGCCCACAACCATCTGGAAAGCCCACTTTCCAGATCAGGGGCGCAAGGCTCAGTGAGGGGCAGAGCGGCGGATGGACATGCCCCACTTCCGGTGACCCTGCTGCCACCCCGCCCCCCAGGCCTGGTGCTGGTGGGCTGGGCCCTCCGCTGGGGCTCTCTGATCAACCCCCCTCCCAGGCACTTACCGTGGGGGATGCAGGGAGAGCGGGGGACAGGCCAGCAATGGGCACCCTCAGCTCTGTTCTGTCCACTGCCAAGGGAGGACCAAGCCGGGGCACCTGAGTTCCGTCCAGGCTGCTGTGAGCCTGCAGCCCTCAACACTCCCAGGGGCCCAGGGGCCCCACAAGCCCCGGGACGCCGGCCCCAGAGTCCACACAAAGTCCACACTCTACAGAACAGCTGATTTTTCTTTAATATAAAAATAACAGCTTCCCCCCCGTGCTGGCTCTAGGGAGACACGTCATATGCTCACCAAGTGGCCTGAGGCCTGGCCCCGAGCCCTGGCCCCGGGGGGGCTGTGAGCAGACGGTGGGGGCTGAGGGGACGGCAGCAGAACCGGGAAGACGGGGGGCCCCCAGCTGGGGGGCCCTGGGTGCCACCCCTACTGGTGGAGGTAGGCTTCCAGCCAGATGTCACCAGACTTCTTCAGGGACCTGGGGACGGGAGGGGGTGTCAGGGACGGCGGCCGGGACCGGGGTGGGCCTCCTGACCCCCAAGAGGGGCAATGGGATGGGACCCCTCCAGGAGCCCCTCATTGGGCAGGCAGGAGCAGCGGTTGAGACTGCAGGAGGGAGGGAAGGGCGTCCGGGCACAGGGAACTGCAAGTGCCAGGTGCCAGAGCGCAGTGGGCAGGGCTGCACCGTCCCCCCTGCCCCCGGGGCATGGCACCCCCGGCCCTTGCCTGAGCATCAGGGAACATCCTTCCCCTGAGACCAGCCGTCCCGCCTCTGCCCATTTCATCACCATCTCAGACCACGCCAGCCCACAACAGATGGGGACCAGGGATGAGGCAACAGCTACCCTGCATGCGGACAGTCTGCTGCGAGAACAGAACCACCACCGACGCCCCCCAAACACTGCGCCCCGACCCAGCCCTCCAGGGCTCTAGCCTGCACCCCAACATTCTCTCTTTCTCCACGGACCGTTCCCCCCACCCCTGGTCCTGCTGGACTCGGGAGTGTCTCATGCCTTCAGGACCCCAGGAGCCTGGGCACCGGGGACGGTGGCCGGAAGGTCCAGACTGAGGGCAGTCAGGCTGACCCAGATTTGGTCCCCCGAGCCAGGAGTGAGCCCTGAGCACTGTCTGGTGTGGTCCCAAACTAAAAATAAATAGTTTTGTTCTTTTTTTTTTTTTTTAAAGAGCTGATGGAGGGGCTGGAATGATAGCACAGAGGGTAGGGCGTTTGCCTTGCACGCGTCCGACCCGGGTTCGATTCCCAGCATCCCATATGGTCCCTTGAGCACCACCAGGAGTGATTTCCTGAGTGCAGAGCTAGGAGTAACCCCTGAGCATCGCTGGGTATGACCCAAAAATTAAATAAATAAATTTTAAAAAGCTGATGGAAAGATCTCGAGGTTGGGGGGGTCTGGTCGGGGGAAGAGGGGCTTACCCAACGATGTCCACCAGGGCTGTGAGGAAGGGCTTCACCTCGTAGCTGATGCCGTGCTTGGCACACAGCGCCTTCACCAGGGGGGCCACGCGGCGGTAGTTATGACGAGGCATTGTGGGGAACAGGCTGCGAGGGAGCGGGGGGGGGGTCTGTACCTGCGTGAGCGGCCCTGCCCCCCACCCCAGCACCTCCCAGGTCCTGAGCCTCCCATCTTGGTCTCCCTGAGGAAAGACTGGGCCAGGGGACACCCTCTCCCCCTCCCACCCCGCCCCGGCACGCACTGGTGCTCGATCTGGAAGTTGAGGTGCCCGCTGAACCAGTCGTTGAAGAGGGACTGCTCCACGTTGCACGTGGCCGCTAGCTGCAGGGGGAGAGGGCAGGCACCAGTGAGGGAGGCGGGCGCAGACCCCCAGGGCGCCCGCCCCACCCCCTCCCCGCCAGGTCCCTCACGGCGGGCGGCCTCACCTGAGAGCTGGCCCAGTCCCGGTGCTTCTCGTGGCCAATCTCCTTAGGGATGTGGTTCATCTGTGTGATCCACACGAACCAATGGCTCTCCAGGACCCTGTGTGAGGGTCAGGCACTGCCCACGTCCAGCTCCCCATGTGGGCTGCACCCGGGCCTCAGTTTCCTTCTCTGCACCGTGGGCCTGTGGCAAGCCCCCCTCCCCCACTCGCTGGTGCAGGGGGTGGGGAGCAGCTCTCTGAGCGTGAGAAGAGGGAGGCACGCAGGGCCGCCCACCCCCCCGTCCCCCCCCAGCGCCCAGGGAGAAAAGCCTGCTGCCTGCTGTCCCCTCCCCAGGGTGGGTCACCTCCCTAGGCCTCCCCACCCCACCCCCCGTCTCCCACGACTCCTACCTGACAGCCACAAACAGCAGCAGCACCCCTGGGACTCCGTAGAAGGGAACGTAGGTCAGGAAGAAGCGGACGTAGAAGCTGGCAGCCCACAGGAAGTCCTGCCGGGGTGGGGAGGAGGCGGGGGTCAGGGCGGGGGGGGGGGGGGCGTTCAGGGCACCCAGCGGGGGCTCAGGGCCCCTGCCCTCTCCCTTCAGTCTCGGAGCCCGTGCCCAGATGCTCTGGGCCACTTTCTCGGGCAGGACAGCGGGGAGACCCTGGCAGCTCCATGGGGCTGACCAGGAGGTGAGGGGGATGCAGGGGAGAGGACGGTGGACATGCCCAGTGGTGTGCTGCCTACACACCCCCGTCCCCTGCGGTCACAGGTCACCACCTGCAGTCACGTGCCACACACTGGCAGTCACGTGTCAGACACATGCAGTTGCATGCCACCCGCCTGCAGTCACGTGTCAGACACATGCAGTTGCATGCCACCCGCCTGCAGTCACGTGTCCCACCCCTGCAGTCACATGTCAGACACATGCAGTCAGGTGCCACCCGCCTGCAGTCACGTGCCATCTGCCTGCAGCTACATGTCACTCACGCCCCCTCCCGACAGTCTCCTGGCGCCCCTGTGAGCACCTGTGGCCGGGGACTGTCCCCCGCCGCCCCCCAGGACCCGGCTCCCTGCAGCCACTCACCGCCCACCGCATGCACACCAGCATGTACGCCAGATTCTCCACTTCAAAGTTCACCAGTGTGAGCAGCGGAGGGCCAACTGCGGGGGGGAGGGGCAGGGCTCAGGAGGGGCCCGCGGGGTTGGGGGGGTGGGGGAGGCGCCCACCACCACCCCTAAGCTGTCTCCCCGGAACAACCCCTCGGGGTCCCTTTGCTGGAGGTGGGGGCAGCCTTCCTCACACCTTGCTCCCCCAAGTGGCCCCCATGCTCTGGGGGCCAGGCTGCGAGCAGAAAGGTGGCCGCGGGGGTCTGGGTGGGCTGGGGCGGGGGCAGGCACCAGCTGGAGGGCGCAGGCAAGAAAAGGCGGGGGCAAAGGTTGCGCGTAAGGGGGGAGGGCGACTGCTGGGGAGGGGGGCGGCGGGCTGGGGACTGTCGGCCGGCCAGCTGGCGTCTTTCCCAGAAAGGGCTGCAGGCTGTCCAGCCCCTCCCCGCCTCACCCCTCCCTCCCTCCCGCCCCCTGGGGCGCCCCGGGAACTCACTCAGGAAGAAGTAGAGGTGCTGGTGGTTGTAGGGGAGGTATCTGCGCTTCTTCTTGCCGTACTGTAGAGACAAGGTGCTTCTGGGGAGAGCCGCCCTCACTGCGCCCCTCCCCTGCAGGGGCAGGGGCAGGGACAGGGGGCGGGCGGGGAGGAGGGGGAGTCCACCCTTACCCCAACCGGGCCAGGGCGTCGGGAGGGGCCCAGCGCCCCCACGCACCTCAACAGACGACTCCCCCAGGAGGAAGACGGGCGCCACGGTCACGTCGGGGTCCTTGTGGAAGATGTTGGGCTTGGCGTGATGCTGGAAGTGCCGGAAGTTCCACCAGTGGGCAGAGAAGCCCTGCGGGGCGGGCGCGGGGCTCAGGGTGGGGGGGGCCCGGGCCGGCTGCACACCAGGGCAGGCCCAGCGCCCCCTCCCGCTCGGCCCGCCCCCACCCCTCACCTTCAGCTGCCCCATCACGAACTGCTGGGCCAGGTGGTTCCACCGGGACTTCCTGAAGACAGACGTGTGGCCCAGGTCGTGCTGCAGACACCAGCACTGGGCCTGGGAGGGGGACGCAGGGCAGCCCGGCTCAGGCCCCGGGGTCCGGTTCAGCACCTGGGGTCCAGCGCTCAGTCCCCCAAATCCGGCTCAGCCCCCCGAATCCAGCTCAGCATCTGGGGTTCAGCACTTAGCCCCCAGGATCCAGCTCACCCGCCGTGGTCCAGCTCAGCCTCCGGGGTCAAGCTTCAGGGTCTGATTCACTCCCCAGCGTCCAGTTCAGTTCACAGCCCAGCTCAGCCCCCCAGGTCCAGCTCAGCTCCCCACCACCCCCAGGATCCAGCTCAGAACCCCGGAGCCCTCCACAAATACCCTCCCCCCTGCTCTGTGCCTCTCCCACCCTGGGAAGGGTCAGCCCTTCCCTTGTTTGCTCTTTGAAGGGGGGACCCGCACCCAGTGGTCCTGGGGCTCATGCTGGGGTACCAGGTGACACAGGGGCCGAACCTGGGCTCCCGGGAGTCAGCACGGACTCGGCCCTCTGAGGAGAGCCTTGACCCTATCTGTCTTGGGGGGGCTGGCAGCGGCAGGGGGGTCAAGGAGGGCAGCTCTTTCTGGCCCTGCCCCGTGCTTGCTCGGAACTAAGAGATTAAGAAAATTCCTCTGCTGGTTTGAGATGCCGGACCACAGTACAAGCTGGCCCGGGTTCAATCCCCGGCATCCCACAGGGTCCCCTGAGCACAGGGCCAGGAGTCAGCCCTGAACACCGCCGAGTATGGCCTCATCACAAATATATACATAAAAACACAGCCTGGGGGCTGGAGCGATAGCACAACGTGTAGGGCATTTGCCTTGCACGCGGCCGACCCGGGTCGATTCCCAGCATCCCATATGGTCCCCCGAGCATCGCCAGGAGTAATTCCTGAGTGTATGAGCCAGGAGTAACCCCTGTGCATCGCCGGGTGTGCCCCCCCAAAAAAAACACGGCCTGGGGGGGCAGGGAGTCCTGATGCAGGGGTGAAAGTGGCCCCAGGAGTGGGCCCTGAGCACCGCCCGGTGTGGCCACCAAACCCCTGAAAGGCAGCTGGAGAGATGTGCAAAGGGCTGGAGTCCAGGCTCTGCCTGTGGGAGCCCCAGGCCCGATCCCAGCGACACGGGAGCCCAAGAGCCTTTCGGTCCAGCCCAAAACCAAACCAAAACAAAACAAAACCCCAAAGACCCAAAGTGCAGCGTGACCTGCCAATACAAGCCTTACTCTGGATAGCAAGTGAGCGGTGTTCCTGTTCACTCAGGGGCCGAGCGCCCGGGCAGCGAGCAGCCTTGCACACGGCCAGCCCGGGTTCCATCCCCGGCACCCCAAAGGGTTCCCAGAGCCTCGCCGGGAGTGATCCCTGAGCACAGAGCCAGGGGCAAGCCCTGAGCACTGCCAAGTGTGACCCAAAAACAAACCAAAAAGGGAACATAGAAAGTCATCCAGGAGCTGGAGCAATAGCACAGCGGGGAGGGCGTTTTCCTTGCACACAGCTGACCCGGGTTCGATCCCCAGCATCCCATCTGGTCCCCCGAGCACTGCCAGGGGTAATTCCTGAGTGCAGAGCCAGCAGTGACCCTTGTGCATCGCCGGGTGTGACCCAAAAAGGGGAAAAAAAAAATCATCCAGGAGCCAGAGCGATAGCACAGTGGCGAAGGCGTTTTCTGTGTATGCAGCCGACCCGGGTTCAATCTCAGGCATCCCATAGGGTCCCCCGCTCACCGCCAGGAGTGATTCCTGCATGCCAAGCCAGGAGTAAACCCTGAGCATCGCCGGGTGTGACCCGAAAAGTCAAAATGAAAAAAAAAAATTCATCCATCCATCCATTCACTCATCAGGACGTCCAGCCGCTCTGGCCTGAGGCCTCCGGCAGTGCCAGCTCACCTGGGAGGTGGCCAGGATGAGCGCGGCCAGGGTGCTGGGCAGCCAGCCGGGGCCCAGGAGGTAGATGAGCAGCCAGGCGAGCACCTCCATGGCCAGGATGTGGCCCAGCAGGAAGGCGAAGAAAGAGGCGTTGGCGTCGAACAGCTTCATGTCCTCGGCCGCCCGGCGCAGGGCCCGGAAGTCCTCCACCAGCTGGTCCTGAGCGGGGCGCAGGGGGACGGCCGGTGAGCCGAGGAAGCCAGACCCGGGCCGCGCCCCCTACCCCCCAATGCCAACGATGCCAACGGTGTGCCCAGGTGGAGCCGGGACTCCCCGACTTCCCGAAAAGCGAGAGGCGGCTGGGATGGGGGAAGCCGGGTTCCAGCCCGTGAGCAGGAGTGCAGGGCCCCCAAAGCAGGGGAGGGGCTGGCCAGATCTGGCTGGCGGGGGGCCAGGTGGGTGCCCCTCCAGGGCCTGTGAGCCTGCAGTGGTGGGAGGGAGTGCGGTGGGGGGGGGGGGGAAACATGCCGTCCCCTCGGAGCAAAGTGATGGCCAGAGCTGTTGCAGACGGTACCCCCTTCTTCCCAGTCCCTACTCCCCCCACTCACATTCTGGGGTCCATCCTGGCTGGGCTCATCGGGGGCCAACTCTCCGATCAGCAGCGGCTGCAGGAACTTGCGGACGAATGTGAGGTCCTGGTGGAAGGCGCGGAAGGCATCCTGGGGGAGGAGGCAGAGGAGAGGGCTAGAGCGTGCGTCGGCCCGGGGCAGAGCAGCCAGCAGCAGGTGACAGGAGTCCGAGGCGGCGGTTCCGGGAGGCGGGTTCTGGTCCCCAGCCCGCTGACCTGCCCTGAGCTCGGGGTGGGGAGGACCCTTTTCCACACCTGGGCGTTGCAGCAAATCTGGGCCCTTGAAACTGAGCCCTCTCACGAGTGGGGCCGCCCAGGTCCCTAAAAGGGCTTCTGGAAGTGGCCTGCTGTCCGCCTGCTATCAGATGGGGCCCTAGGGCCAGCAGCGATCGGTTTACCCGGCACTAGGTCAGATGTGGGTGGGAGGCTTGGACCGGGGGCGCGGGGGCTGGGGAAAGCAGGTCAGCCAAGGGCCCCGTGAATGGAGTTCTTGGGGTTCGCGAGGAAGATCCCTGGACGGTGGCTTGAATGCGTTTGGGGGCAGCCCTCGGGGGCAACCGTGCCCAGCGGTGCCGGGGTTTGGACCTAGGGCGGCCACAGCCCAGGCAAGCGTCCTAACTGCGCCCTGCACTGTCTCTGGCTGAATGAAACGCATCTGATCTGAGAAGCACGGTGAGTGGGGAGGGACAGTGCTCGCCCTGCACATGGTTCCCTGGGTTTGCCCTCCAGTATGGAAGGAGGAAGAGAAGAAGGAAGGAAGGGAGGGAGGGAAGGAGGGAGGGAGGGAGGGAGGGAGGAAGGAAGGAAGGAAGGAAGGGAGGGAGGGAGGGAGGGAGGGAGGGAGGAAGGAGGAAGGAGGGAAGGAGGGAGTGAGGAAGGGAAGGAGGGAGAAAGGAGGGAGAGAGGGAAGGAGGGAGGAAGGAGGGAGGAGGGAGGAAGAAGGGAGGGAGAGAAGGAAGAAGGAAGGAATGAAGGAAAGAGGGAAGTGAGGGAGGGAGGGTAGGAGGGAGGGAGAGAAGGAAGGAAGGGAGGAAGGAAGGAGGGAAGAAGGAGGGAGGAGGGAGGGAGGAAGAAAGGAGGGTGGGAGGGAGGGAGGGAAGAAGGAAGGAAGGAAGGAAGGAAGGAAGGATGGAAGGGAGGGAGGGAAGGAGGGAGAAAGGAGGGAGGAAGGGAGGAAGGAAGGAAGGAAGAAAGGAAGGAAGGAAGGAGTGATCCATCATTTAGCAATCAGCTGTTTTTTTACATTGGGCTTTAGAGAGGCCAGAGCGATAATACAGCAGGTAGGGTGTTTGCAGGCGTCAGTCCAGGTTGGATCCCTGGCACCTCATAAGGTCCCCCAAGCTCCACCAGGAGTGAGCCCTGAGCACTGCCAGGTGTAGTACAGAAATCAAAAAATAAAAACAGATTATAGAGATGGACTTCTCAGAGAGCCTGGCAAGCTACCGAGAGTCGCCCGCACGGCAAAGCCTGGCAAGCTCCCCGGGACGTATTCGATATGCCAAACACAGTAACAACAAGTCTCACAATTTGTTGTGAGACGTTACTGGTGCCTGATTGAGCAAGTTGACGAACAACGGGAGGACAGTGCCACAGTGCTACATAGAGATGGAATCTGGTGGAACTTGGGAGTGAGGGTCACATCAGTAGTGGTGTCAGGGGTTCACGTGGCATCAGGGACTAAGCCCCCAGGCCTCGCACTCACTGGAACCACAGTCCCGGCCCAGGTGGATAGAGAGGGGAGAAACTGGCCCTCACACCACAGTTTGTCTTACAAACTAGCATCACATCGATTTTTTTTGTTTGTTTGTTTTTTAGGTCACACCCAACCATGCTCAGGGGTTCCTCCTGGTTCTGTACTCAGGAATTACTACTGGCGGTGCTTGGGGGACTGTATGGGATGCTGGGAATCGAACCCAGGTCAAACGCCCTACCCGCTGTGCTATCACTCTGGCCCTCGATTTTTTTTTTTTTAAACAGGGACAGAGGCACAGAGAGGGTAGAGCAGGCCGGGAGCTGGCCTTGCACGCGGCTAGCCGGGCTTGCTCTCCGAGACTCCTTAGGGTCCCCCGAGCCCTCGAGAAGTCAGGGCTGAGCCAGGAGTCAGCCCTGCGCACGGCCGCAGGTGGCCCAAGAACCAATAAATAAATAAATACATAAATAAATAAACAGCCGGAGCAGAAAACAGCATCTTCGTCTAAGGTCAGTTTGAAATGATCGTGGCCTTCCCGGGGGTGGGGTGGGGTGGGCTGTGGGCAGGAGCGGATGGAGCGTGGGGGAACCCCACCTGCCCAGGGGGGCCCGTCCGCCTGGCCCCATGGCTGGCTCAGATCTGCAGCCAACAGGCTTCTCTTTCCGTCTTGTTATGGTGGGGTGGGGAGGGTGGGGGGGTCTCCCAAGTATATGCAGGAAGCCTGGGGGTGCCACCGGCCAGACTCGGGGGTGACAAGGGTGACAGCTGCTCGAACTCCACGGTGCTGGGGTTCTCTGGTCCCCAGCAGCCTCCACTGCTGGGCGGTGATGGGGGGGGTGTCCCCTGGGGCCACAGCAGGAAGCACCTGCAGAGGAGACCTGGGTCCTCCCATTGTGCTCCTGCTAATGAGTCCAGCAGCTTCCGGCGCGAGGGGCCCGGCCCTGAGCTCACCGCCAGCCCTGCCCCACGCTCCGAGGGGGAGGGACCCCCAAACCCTCCAGCCCGGAGGTCCCCTTCCCTGCTGCCGCCTTTGCTTCGGGGGCCAGGGCGGTTCTGGGCTAACCAGGACGGGTCCCACTCTCTGCGGTGGGAGTGACCCCGGGCTCAGCCTGGAAGGCGGCTGGAGGTTCTGAGGGGTCCCTACCCTTAGACTGGGAGGGCACCGGCCCAGCCAGATCTGTTCTTCTCCTTCCCACGGCCCGGCCCGGCTTCAGACCAGACTAGGAGGGGGAAGTCACGTAGGACCGTCACGTACGACTGTCACATTACACCAGGGCCAGTCCTGTCAGGGGTCAGGGGGCCCCTGGGCGGGGCACAGGGTGCTCCCATGGGGCGAGTCACCACCCTGAGCAGCCCAGGGGGTGGGGTGGGGCAGAGCGGGAGGGCCCTGGATTCCCTTGGAGCGCCTTGCCCACCCGTGGCCTGGTCACACCCTTGGTGACAGGTCCAGAGCAGAACTGGGTAGACGAGAGCCCCTGGTTCCAAACACCAGCAGAGCCCACACGTGGGTGCGGGCCCCCCCAGCCAGGAGAGCGCAGCGGGAGGGGCCGGGGACACGGCCCCCACATCTGTCCACCCCCAGACATCAGGGCACCCAGGTCCCCGGGGAACCCCAGGGGCGCTGGCACCAGCCTGCTGGAAAAAACCCGAGGGGTAGCAGCTCCTGGCTCGGCAGCCCCTGCCACGCAGTGACCCCCCACACATACACCCCTGCCCAGGGATGGAGGAGAGGGCAGAGGGGCTCTGGGTCCTGTCCTCGGGGTCCTAGAGGCTTTTCCCAAGAGACGGCTTCGGGGAACCTGGGAATCCGACCCCTCCGCCGACCCTCCCGGGTGGGAAGATCAACTCACAGGCCCAAGGCTGCAGGGGCACCACCCTTATGCCCATTTCACAGAGTGGGGAAACGGAGGCACAGACCAAATAGCACCAAGCCCCAAGCACAACACGGGTCCCTACGACCCACAGCTCTTACGGGGCACTGAGCCTGGAGCGTCCCCAAAGCAGCCAGATCCCCGACAGTCCCCCCTGCCCCGCCCCCCACGACCCCCCAAGCTCAGAGGCAGGGTGGCTGGGGATGCCGGGGACCAGGGCCAGAGCTGGGCTGCTGGGCCCCAGGCCCTGCCCACTGTCCCGGGGAAGGGATGCGGCTGTCCACACCACCCAGCCCACCCAGAGGGGCCGCTGTGTGTGGGGGGGGGAGTCCTGAGGCAGGGGTCCTGGGCCAGGGGCCACCCTGCACTCCACGGCCCGGCCATCCCAGAGTCTTGGACTGCCCGCCTGCCTGCCCAGCCCTGCCCTGCCCTGCCCTGCCAACTGACAGCATGACCCAGGGGCCCCTCCCTGAGCCCAGAGGCAGAGGCCCCGCCCCACCCCCATGCAGCCCCCCCAACACCCCCAAATCCAGCTTGTGACCTCTTGTCTGGGTGGAGTTAGCCCATGCCCAGCAGGCCCAGGCCTCTGGGGACAGAGCAGCCAGTGGGAGCGGCCACTGTCCCCCCGGCTGAAGTGACTATTGTGCCCGACCACCCAGCCTGCACCCCAGAATCCTGTGGGCTCCTGTGCCAAGGCTCTGCCCTCCAGCCAGGCCCGACAAAGGGGCCCACGGACGCCCCCAAGGGGCTGCAAGAGTGGACGGCAGCGGGCAGCCCGGTCCATCCCAAACTCCAGACCCCAGCTCCCGACTGTGACCCTCTGCCCCCGTGAGTGACCGCTGTGACTCTCTGCCCCCGTGACCATCCCTGCAAGGGCCATGCAGGCAGGAATCAGCAGCCCCGTCAGCTGCGGGCACCGCAAGGGCTCTGGGGAGGAGATGGACAAGGGTCAGCGCCCAGGGGGTGCCTGGCGTGCGGTGGGCGCGGCCTGGGTGCACCTCCAATGGCCAAGGCGGGGGGGGGGGGGGGGGGCGGCCTCCACGCCGGCCTGGCGCTGTGACTCTCTTGCAAACCTGGCCCAGGGCCCAGAGCACTCTCCCCAGGGCACCCGGCTTTGTATCCCAGGATGGCCACAGGCTGACTTCATGGTACAGGAACTCTGGGAATTTCCTGGCAGGAAGGGTTCTCTGCTGCCTGGACATGAGAACAGCTGATGGGCGGCAGGACGGGCGAGAGGTGGCACGGTCCTGCCCCCCCCACCTGCACCCCGGGGCCTGGGAGGGGCGCTAGGCTCGGCCCAGGCCCGGGCTTGGCCCGACAGGCGCCGGGCTGTCTCAGGCCCCAGTCAGCCCCGTGGGGCCATCGTGGACAAAATCCGGGGCTCCCGGAGAAGGGTCAACCCCCCCACTCCGGCCCCCCTGGCCTGGACACACCCATCTTTCTGGCAACTTCGGCCGCCGGGTGCCGGGGCCTGGGAGAGGCGGGCAGATGACTGACCCGCGCGCCTTCCTGTTAATATACAGATGGACGGGGCAGACCAGCCGAGGCCGGGCGGTGAACGTCTGCATCACGGCCCCCCCACCCCACCCCGGGGGAGATGGCACAGGCCTGGCCCCGGGCGCAGCTCCCCTACTTCACAGATGAGGAAACTGAGGCGCAAAGGAGGTCACCCATGGGATCTGACAGCGGAGCCGGGAGCCGGGACCCGGGCCCAGGGAGGACAGAGGATCCAGCAGGACGGGGGCAAACAGACCGCACGCCTCGGGGACTCGGGATAAACAGGACATCAAACGGGGTGTCGGGGCCCCCCCAGCAGCCAAGGCAGGTGTTGCTCACACCCCAGCTACTCTGCATGGCTACGCAGCAGGCAACGCTCTGCGGCCCCTCTAGACACCCAGGGGCCTGTCCCAGGGCTCTGCCAGGCCTGGGTGGCCGGGGCAGATGTGCATGGGGAAAGACCTACGGGGCCTGGGTTTGCACAGCCACAGCCGCGGGTTTGCACACCCAGACACTGGCTTGCACACTCAGAGGCCCGCACAGGCTTCAGCTGCATGGTCACGACCTGTCCCCTCAGCAGTGGCCACCAGGCTGCCACTTTCCAGAATTTCAGGAGGCTCCTAACCTCTTCTCCTCCTCCACCTACTGGCCTGGAAGCGGGGCAGCGCCAGAGACACCCACCCACACACCCCAGCCTGAGAGAAGCCCACCCACTGCGGAGGGGGGAAGGAAAGGCAGAGGGCACCCCCAGCTGGGCCACGCAGCGCCCCCCCACTCCCTCCCCGGGCAGGAGCCAGTCCCGCGTGGGGGATCTGTTCCCCTCCCCGCGTGGGGGATCTGTTCCCTGGAATCCCAGGCCCTTCCCGGTCCCCAGAGTGGCCAACCTAGAAGTGTGCGTGGCCAATGAGCGAGCTTCGGGGCCCCACGCCCTACTTCCTGTCCAGATTGGAGGTGGGGGGGGGTGGGGGGGCGTCTCCTCCAGCCAGATGTCCCACTGGACCAGGCCACATCCCGCCTCGGGGTGGGGGGTGGGGGCGTGTGCGGGTGGGGGCCAAGACGCGCCCGTCCGTCTAGACAGGGGGCTGGGAAGGGGAAGTCAGGTCCCGCGGGGGGTCAGCGTCCCCGTCCCCCCCCTAACCCTCCGGCCCCGGCGCCCCGCACCCCAGCCCCGAGGCCAAGTTCTCCCAGGCGCGGCTGGGCGCGGAGGGGTGAGTCAGGGCCCCCCGCGTCTCGGGGCCACCCCGTGGGAAAAAGCCCGCCCGCCCGCCGGGCCCAAACTTTGCGCCCGCCGCCCTCCCCGCCGCGTCCCATGACACATCCCCGGCCGCCCCCGGGGGACCCGCCCCGGCGGCGGGGCCACCCCCCCACCCCCCGAGCGCCGCAGCCCCGCTGCCCCGGGGAGGGGAGCGGCCGTTACCCACCGGGGCGCCCCGCGGCCCGGGCGCCCCCTCCCCCACCCGCCCCTCCCCCCGCGCCCAGCGGGGCCGGGCCTCGGCGGCGGCCGGGTCCCGCTGCCAGGGCTGGGTCCCCCGGCGGCCCGGGGGGTGGTCGCGAGGCCAGGATGCTCGGGGACTCCCCCCCACCCCCCACTCCGTACCGTGGCGTCCTCGGCGCCGTGGTGGCCGATGAGGCGGCTGCCCCCCGGGTGCCGCTGCGCCCAGCGGCTGATGTCGTAGACGCGGCGCTCGATGACCAGCCACTTGTCGCCCGGCAGGTTGTGCAGACGGATCTGCTCCCAGCGGAAGGTGGGCAACGGCTGCGGGTCGCCGCCGCCGCCGCCCATGGCGCCCAGCGCGTTCCGGGGCTGCTGCTCCGCCGCCGCCGCCGCCGCCGCCGCCGCCGCCGCCGCCCGCGCCCCGCCCTGCGCCGCGGCCGTGCGAGGAGCGCGCGCTGCCCGGCGCCGCCGGACCGGCCTTATACCCGGCCCGACAGCGCGCCCGCGCCCCCATTGGCCCAGCCGGACACGCCCCGCCCCGCCGGCCGCGCCCCCCGCCCTCCCACCCCCCCCCCGCCTCCCCCCCACCCCCCCGCCCGGGACCCCGGCCCCGAGCGCCCCGCGCGCACGGCCCCCGCCCGGGCCCCGCCCGGGCTGCGCGTCCTGGAACCTCGAGTGCCCGAGGAGCGCGCCGGGCCCGGGCTCTCCCCCGAGGCGGCTGTCAACAGTTCCCGGACAAGGGCCCAACGTCTGCTCTGCTCGGAGGGGCGGGCGGGGAGCGCGTGGCGTGGGGGCCCTCCCTCCTGTTGTGCTGCAGCGTCGGGAGTGGGGCGTGCGTCGGGAGTGGGGGTGGGGGTGGGGGGGCGCGCGGAGGAGCTGCTGGGGGCGCTCCCCCCATCCCCGCTGCCGAGGTGGACTGGGTGGCTTGTGCCCTACACCCGGCCACCACCATCCCCACTCTCTCTCTCTCTCTCTCTTTTTTATTTTGGTTAGGATTTGGGGCCACACCCCAGGGTGCTCAAGGCTTGCAACTCCCTCCGCTGTGCTCAGGGATCAGTCCTGGGTGCTCGCCAGAGCTGGGGTGCTGAAGATTGAAGCGGGGGTCCGCCCAGTGCCAGGTCCTGCCTTTATTCACATAAATGCAAGACCTTTGGAGACTATAGTCCACACACACACACACACACACACACACACACACACACACACACACACCCTTACCTTCCTGAAACTCAGCTCACAGCCAGCAAGAACAGGCTAAAGGGGCTTTGCCTAACAGTGGGGGTCTCCCTGAACTGTCTCAGGAATCACCCCGGCTCTTTTCAGGACCCCCCTCCACCGCCCACCGTGGCAGGCCCACCCAGCCCCAGCACGGGGCTCCGCATGTCAGTCTTGGGGGCCGTCAGTGGATTGATTGCCAGCAGCTTCTAAGTGCTTGTTCCCCTCTGGGTCTTCCCTGGCACCCGGTGAGTGGGGCCCCGAATCGTGCCCACGGGGTGGCTTTGAATCCCCTACCCCATGTTGGGGAGAAAGTGAGTTGGCGGCTGATGTGGGGGACCACTGCCCCCGCCGACTGTTTACACAGGAAAGGAGGCGCCTAGAGGAAACGCACCTCCTGGCCCCAAATCTCTGGCACCCCCTGCAGCAGCAGGGCATGGCCCGCAGCCCTTCCTGGGCCTGGTTTCCGCCAAGTGTGGGTGGTGGCTGTGGGGTTCAGGGGGGTCAGATATACCCCAATAGGTAGCCACACCCTGCCCGCCCACACCTGCCACCCCCAATGAGGCCCAGACTCAGGGTCCTGAAACATTCTAGCCACATCACCCGGCAGGCAGGGGTTGTTGTTCCGGTGAAACGGGCCCTTCACGCCTCCCCACGGCCCAGTGAGCACTGGCCCGCAGTGCCCTGCGTCTCGGTGTCCAGAGGTCGCCGTGCCCGGCAGACTTTCAACCCCCCTGTGGACCCTGAGCCACCCCGGAGCCCAGAGCCGGAGCCAAAAGCCCCAGAGTGGGGTGGGGGATGGGGCTTGGGACTCGGTTGTCCCCAAATCATGGCAGGGCAGCAGCCAGCCGCGAGGCCTCTCAAACCGCTTGGAAAGGGAGAGGCACCACTTGACATTCCTGAGCTGCCACAGGGCGATTGCCAGGGTGTTGGGTTTAGGCAGGGGGAGGGAACACGACAGAGCCCAGAGGAGGGAGGAGGGGCCGGCCAGCTGAGCCCTTCTCTCTTGGGGGTGTGTGTGGGGGGAATCCCCTCCAGTCACCCCAACTCCACCCCTGACCCGGTCCTCCTCCCAGCCCACGACCTGCCACCCAGGCCTCCTGCAGTCACTGACAGATGTCTCCACTCGCTCCAGGGCTGCCGGCCACTGTCTAGAGCCAAGGGATGCCTGAGCAGTCCCGCACACACTCCTGCTGGCCACCCCAGTCCCAGCTGGGGTGGGGGTGGGGGAGTCAGGACACCAAGGCTAAGCCTTTGATCTGCAGAGGATGCCCAGGTGTGGACCAAGGCTTTGCTCTTGGACTTCGGATTTTCAGTTCAGCACCCCCTGAGCCGGGTGGTGACGCCTGGCCCTCTCGTGCTGGGGAGCTGGAAGAGGCATCGGGGGAGGCCACAGAAAGTTCCAGAGCTTTAGGCTGCATGAGACTCCCCTGAGGGCATCCACTGAGTTCCGCGGGGAAGCCCTGCTCTGGGGAGCAAGGCAAGCGCAGACCGCAGGGAGGGTTCTCTTCTGGGAAGTCCCCCACCGCTGCCCATTCAGGTCCCATGACCTTTTATTGCACTGATAATAAAACAGATCACTGAGACGTGAGACCCCAGTGGGCAGTGGGCAGTGTGACAGAGAGGACATGGACCTTGGCCTCCCACCAGGGGGGCGCCTCTCAGGACAGGTCCCTCAGATGGGTCACCTTGTACAGGGGTCTCCCCTGAGCTCTCCTTTGGGGCCAGGCCCCTCCCTCTCTCCTTCCTGTGTCCAGGGAGCCACCGGACAGGTGCTGGCCACAGCCCCCTGAGCACATGAGCAGGGGGCAGTTGCCCCACGTTCACAGTCTATTATCCCAGAAGAGAATTTCTGGGAGTCCCAGTGATCAAACAAGCAGGAAGGGGCCTTGCCTTGCTGGTCAGGGTTCAATCCCAGCACCCCATTGGTTTCCCCCAAGCCCTGCCAGGAGTGATCCCACACAGAGCCAAGAAAAAGCCCTGAGAGCTATAGTCTACTTTCAGCATGCTTCTCCCATCCTGGGAGGATCCTCCCAACACCCTTTATTTGGTGTTCCCTTCTCTATCTGAACTCCCTTTTCCCCTAGCATGTGTGATTGTCCCCCATTGCCTCTTTTGCAAACCACAACACCCAATAGGAGAGAGAGAGAACAAAAGGGAATGCCCTGCCACAGAGGCAGGGTGGGATGGGGGGGGATGGGGGGGAGGGATACTGGGATTCGTGGTGGTGGGAAATGGGCACTGGTGGAGGGATGGGTATTGGATCATTGTATAATTGAAACCCAAGCACAAAAATTTGTACGTCTACAACTGTACCTCATGATGTCTCACTAATAAAAATTAAAAAAAAAAAAGCCCTGAGAGCAACTTTCAATGAAAAAAGAAAGTGAAAGGGAAGGAGAGAGAGAAGCCAGCAGAGAGAAGGGGAGAACACACCCCTGAAAGGACTCACGCATGTGTACCCCATGTTGGAATGGGGTAACTCCCTCACCTAACGAAGCGCTCCAGTTAAAGGAAGAAGTCAGGGACCAGAGGAACAGGGTGAGGGCAACCCCCTCCTCCCAGGTGCTGACTTGGGCCAAAGCTGCTTTTCTAGGCTTTTCCATGCCGCCCCAGCCCAGGGTCCTCTGCAAGGCAGGTCACTGTCTGGGGTCCTTGATGGGTCTCAGCCTAAGGGCTGGAGCTGGCACCCTCCTTTGACGTTGGGGGTGGGGCTGGCCAGTGGCTGGGCCTCCTTTGGAGGAGTCATATCTCGGGTTTTGACTTTCTGAAATTCACTGCCCGTTTCCTGCCTGCCTGCTTCAGAAGGAAGGGCGGGGAGAATGTTGGCCTCACTGGTTGCCTTTTCCACTTATTCACATGCCCACATTGGCCCGTAGCGGGGGTGGAGGTGGGGAGGGATGGGGGGGACCCTGTTCTGGGTCCTTTCAGAACAGATTGGCAAGGATGTGGAAATCTCAGAGGCCTGGAGCACGGCTCGGGTTGTGGGATCGAAAACACTGAGATAATGTTTGCGAGGTGCCTTCCGGTAGGAGGACAGAAGTATCGGGTGAGGGGGCCAGAGAGATAGTACAGTGGGCAGGACATTTGCCTTGCATGCTGCGGACCCATGTTCAATCCCCGGCATCCCATGTGGTTCCCCCCCCCCAAGTCCCAGCGTGAGTGATCTCTGAGCATAAAGCCAGGAGTTAAGTCCTGGGTGTGACCCCAAAACAAAGAGAATGATCAGGTGATTCAGTCATCTCCCCACCCCCTCCCCAAGTATCTAAGGGAATTGAAAGTAAGATCTCAGGGTACAGGAGGAAATTCCCTTGTAACCCCAGTTCTAAGCCCCAATATTGCATGTGGTCCCCAGAGGATGGCCAGGGGTCACTTCTGAGCACAGAGCTAGGAATAACCCTTAAGCACTGAGTGTGGTTTCGGGTGTGTTGTTGGCCCCCCCAAAACTAAAAACAAACAAAAACCAATTTAGGGCCAGAGAGAGAGTGCAGTGGGTAAGACACTTGCCTTGCAGGGCTCAGTCTCAGGCATCCCATATGACACCCGAGCCCTGGCAGGAGAGATTCCTGAGCACAGGGTTAGGAGTAAGCCCTCGGTACCACCAGGTGTAGCCCAGTAATGAAAACTCTCACACACAGACACACACAGACACACACACACACACACACACACACACACACACACACACACACACGGAACCACCACCAAAAATATAGAGGAAAAGGAAAGCAAAGCAGATGTTCAACCCCACACGAATATCTGATATTCTACGGGTTTGTTTGGGGTTTGAGGTTTTCAAGCTACACCTGGTTCTATGCTCAGGGGTCACTCCTGGTGGTACGCAGAGATCCACATGCAATGCCGGGGATCCAACCAGGGTCGCAAAACAACCACCCCAAGCCCTTATCCCCTATCCTCCACCATAGCCCGTGAGTAAACAAACGCTGTCCACTTGCAGGACTATCATTCAGCCTGACGGGTCAGGCGGTTATCTTGTGTCAGCACGTGGGTGAACTTGAGGCCGTGCTCCTGCTCGGTGAAGCCGGCCAATCACCTAAAGACAAATACCTCGGACGTCCCTGGCATGTGCAGTATCCCAAGCGCTCACTTCATAAAACAAACAGTGGGGCCGTGGTCACCCAGGAGGGCTGTTGTTTAGCGGACACGGACTCTCAGAGCTGTAAGATGAGAAAGTACTGGCACTGGGGCAGGA